AACATACCTGCACCATAACTTGAGATGGAGTAATAGCAGCCTTGGCAACTCGATGACAGTCCTTATATGTCCTAAGAGGACGAACCTGCAACTACGAACGAGCCTACATAGTTGAAGGCTCAAGTCAATTCCTAGATGCTGAAAAGCCAATCATAGCACTCACTGCATGCTTGTATTATCTACCTAGCAGAACATAGTAGAAATCTATTTGTTTACATCTCGCACTCTCACATCTCTTATCTTGCATCATATCATCACTTAAGCTTAGTCTCTCTCATTTTCACATACCTGCACGCACTTTCCCGCGCTTCGCGCAGCATGTGCGCGTGTTCCTGCACTTTCGTGCCTTGCGCACACCTGTGCTTTCTCGTGCTTCGCATTGGTCAACCAGTAGCGCCTTCAGTGCATTTCTCTAGATCCTTGCTGCACTCGCTTCCCCTTTAGGGTTGAACACACTTGTCTTCTCAAGTATAGCAGACTAGGCAATGCACGACCTTACAACACTTATAGATACAGTCTGGAGCCTCGTTTGCGCTTCGCTGTATTGTTGTTTCTACAGCGCATACCACCCTTGATTCAGTAAAGAAACTCTATACGAAGGATATGGTCAGTGGAATGAAGGTTTCAGGGACAACAGCCCATGAAATGAATATGTGCAAAGCCTGCCTCATAGGGAAACAGTCTCGAAAGCCAATCCCAAACGAATTGGAAGTCCAGAACCCTTGAGTACTCCATAGAACATACTCAGATATCTGTGGTCCAATGGAAACCATCTTTGGTTGTCGCTATAACACCACTTAGTAGTGAGAATATTTGGACAGCAAATATATTAGAATGGGACTATGGAAGATAAGGTATGAGTGTTAAGATGTTTGGGTGACAGCGCGTAGCGCTGACCGGTCCCGACTAAAGATCTGCCTAAGAGAGGAGGTGAGCTGCGAATCCCCTGAAGAGTAGGAGTCCGTGACGACACATCGCAGCGAAGCCACAGACACCCACAATGGTAGGAGGAGGGACTCACGAAATCAGCATGTGCTAACTGTTTCTGGGCATTGAAAGATGAATGAACTCTTCATGAAGACTTGGAATGGCTTGCATGTAAGGTGCAAGAATTTGTGCATGTTTTCATAGGTACAGCTGAAAGGCATCACTAGCCCATCTCCTTTTCGTCTTGACGACTTTGAAAGGGATGTTCTGGAGTAAATATTTGAGTGTGGAACCTATATGGATGCCATGTCCTTGTAACAGATCCAGACCTGCTGCTCGTGCTGCCTGGGCTAAGCAGCCGATGAACTTCTGCTTTGTTAGCAGACAATAGCCTTTCTTGAATTGGTAAGCAAATAGAGCTCCTCCGACAGGAGGATCATTGATTTGAAGGTGCTGGATGAGTGCTTGCTCCGGGTCTGAAGGACTGTTTTGTTGAGCGAAGGATATATCTTCCCCTTCTCTGGAAGTCTTAGTACGAGGGATGTGGAATACTCTCATCTTGAGATTGCTACAGTCTCGTTCAATGTGCATATCTGACAATTTGACATGAATGCTAGGTTCGAAAGCCGAAAGAGTGGGAACTGTGACTTCTCCGACATGAGCAGTGCAGTAGAAGGCTGTTGTTAAGCAGTGTATACTGCTGCATCCAAGGGCATATCGAGGTTTAGCTGGTTGCAGAGCGAGCAGATGAATTCGACAGTGTAAGGGTGATGTTTCTTGCATTTTGACAGGTGAGGAGCGAGGACCTCTGAAGCTTTGAGGAGAGCCTCAATTTGTACATCATTGAGGGACCAGTCGAGACCATGGAGAATGTGCTATGCATGCACCCCGAACACATAGTTTGCGATTGTCTTGCCTGAATATGAGCCTGCTATGAGTGCGATGAAGGCTGAGATGAGTGTGGATGATGCTGGTGCACAATCTTCTTCTGGGATTGAGCGAGAGTTGCAATACACATGGTATACTAGGAGTCTAGATCCGTAGGACTCATGGGTGCTTTCAGCCCAAGCATGGCACATCACATCCTGGATACACGCTATGTCCTCTGCTGTGAGGGATCCTGACTTTGATCTCTGTATCACTGGGGTCCAAAGGCGAAGATGCAGCTTGGCTGCGCAATGCGGGCGGAGGACAGAGGGAATCAGGCTCAGATCAGCGGGATAAGCTAAGTACTTTGTAAGTGGCTGTTTGCGTCTTTGTACAATACGTTGGGACGTACTATATTTCCAATGTTTCAAAGAGTTCCTCTCCCTGTCACTCAAGGACGCGGTTCTTGAGAGCATGCTTGGCGTCTTGAAGCACACACCATGTCTTGGTGCTTGCACTGATCGTGGTGGAAGCAAGAGAGCTCCTATGCTCGCTTGCGTGTAGAGGGGTGTCGAAATTGACAACGAATTCTCTGATAATGGGAGGGATAGAAACGGGGGGCAAAAGAAGGGAATGCAGGGGGTATCTTCCATGCGACGGGTCATCTGCAGGGTTGAGAGTGCTAGGGACATAGCGTGTGAGGACGATACAGGGAGCGGATTGAGTGGCAGCGTGAATGCATCTGAATACTGAGTTTGTGGGGTGGTTGCGACTGCGTCCCTTCCACCATCCTTCCACAACACCTCTGTTATCTCCATAAACCTTGAAGTAAGGGATTGGGATGGGTTGTGTTGCTTGGATGATGCTGAGGACCAGGAATTCGAATCCGATGGCCTCAGCCCATCCGATGTCTTGATTATTGTTTTTCCACCCTGGAATGAGGCACCAGGCTCGCCACCATCTGTTGACCCAAATTGCAATGCCCATGCCTAAGCTAGCATCAGAGAAGGTGTGGGGGTCTGCAACTGTGCACGGGCCTGGGACAGGTCTGATGACAGTGTGTTGGTGAAGGGTGGCTGACCACCACCTGAGGTCAGTGGCACAACCTTTGGGTGGGTGTGTGGCACGAGAGGACGGTCACTGAAAATGGAAAGCATGGCTTCCAATTCAGTGATGTAGGCTCTGCCTGCCAGGACGATGAGAGCAGCATGTAACAACTTGCCGTGGAGTTTCTGGACTTCAAGGAGGACATGGCAAGGTTGGGATTCCCAGGCCAAAATGGTGTCCAAATACTTCTTCTTCTTGCTCTCCAGGATCTCGATTGTGTGCCCATCAAGACTCCATGTGAATCCTGTGAAAGGAGGGGTGGAACAGAACTGAACGTCTTTAGATATCTCCCAGGGATTACCTGTCTGGATGGAGATAGCGCTGATGTCATCCATGCAGCATGAGAACTTGGCATCCTCTGCTGAGCGGGGTGACCTCTGAGATAGATCGAGAATGGGGAATGAGCAGTCCTCTTTGAATTCTTCTGGTTGGTCGTTAGGTAGGGTAGCACCACGATACCATTTCCAGCCTCCGTCAATATGTACGCCTCTGTTTTCTTGTATGTTTCGGGCCCAGATGCTGCACTGTTCGTTGTACCTTTGCAGGTGTTCCAGGAGAATGCGGAAGAATAAATGATCATCGACCCACTTTGATAAGGGTCCGATACCCTCGCTACAAAGTATGTCCACTCCAGCATCAGCGAGCCCTCCATAAGATCCAGCTGCTGAGGAGCAGCCAAAACAAAAGCTTGTGTCGATGATGAAATGTTCCTCACTCGTACAGACGATGAGCCCAGGATATTGGGATGGATGGAGGGGAACAGTTCTGTATGCCTCTGCCATGTCATGAGTTGCTCCTTGGGAGCCTGGAGGTAAGTGCCATACAAGTAGACAAATAGTAGAGAAAGTACCATAAGTGCAAGGATATAGGTTAGAATCAATGGAAGAATTAATTGAAGCAATAGGATGAATGAGGGACAATGAGCTGTGGGAAAGGTTCTGAATGAGGCGGAATTTTCCAGGTTTGCCTGGTTTAGGGATGATGGACAATGGCGCTGTCTGAAACAGTCCGATAAGAGTTTCCACTTCGGCCTGTGAGAGAGGGCCGAGGTATCTCCCAGAGTTGAACTCTCGATCAAGGATGGCAGCAAAAGCATCAGCGTGCTCAGTGATGGATGGATTATTAGGTGGGGTGTATGTACAAGTGATGGGAGGAATACTACCAATGAAGCCATATTGTAACGAGTGAGGAATGTGTGGGTAAGTAAGTATGAGGCCAGATTTATTAAGTAAAAGGTTCCATGTGTCTGCATGATACGGTGTGAGCGTGCTACAACTCCTGGCCTCAAGGACACTTCGGAGCTCCATGATCCATGCTCCCGCATCTGGAGCACTCGTGTATGTGGTCTTTGCTTGAGCTGGAGCATCTGTTGGGATGCTGCCAGTCGTAGCAGAGCTGCAGACCTTGGGCATTGACAAGATGGCCTTCTGGATTCCTTCAACAGGAGGTGGGGGTCTTGTTGTCCCACAGGAACTCGCTCTTGCATTTGTGCACATTGTGGGCGAATCAGCCGAGGCAGAGGGTGCAAGCATGGAGGCCGGATGGTGCTGCGCCATTCTGAAAAGACTGCTTGTCTTGCGAGGCTTGCTTAGACCCTTTCTGGGGGCATTGGCATTTCGGAGATGGAGCACATGGTGGCAATTGCCCGGAGGCATCGCGCACTGGTGAGTGTGAGTGAGATCGTGCTGGGCGAGGCATGTTACGCGATGTGTTGCACTGGAATGAGTTATGGGGCTCTCGTGGCCGCTGGCTTGATGATAGAGCTTGTTGAAGCTGGGAGACAGAAGATGAATTCAATTATGGAAGTGGGAGCGAGTGCGAGGAAGCAGGAAGCAGCAAAGACATGCGCGAGGGAGCAGTTGGCACGTGAGATTTTGGTAGTGGAAGCGGAAGTGTGAGTGGAAGCGGTAGCAGTGAATTTGAAGGATATGGGTGTGAAAATGGATAGTCAGAAATGTTTAATCAATGTTCGGGAGAAAGGAGAGCATACCTCTGTCAAGCTCTCGAGGTGTGTCTTGTTCCAAACTTCCTCGGCCAAGTTCTTTAGCAGCGTGGAGTTGAAGATGCCGATATCGAATGCATTGTCAAGGGTCAGGGTATCATGCCAGTCTCTGTGGACGTGGGCGGTGTAAAGGAGTAAGGCTTGTTCGCCGAACTGACTCAGAGCGTTGTGGATGGGACACAACATTCATGAAAAACATAGTGAGGGCGCATTGGTGTTTTTCCAGCCACTTCAACTTGTTGATGTATAGCAGGAAACTGTTCTTCACCATGTCAAACTGCCTCCATTCAAGACCATAGTCTTGGATTGCTTTGCGAGAAAGTTTGAAAGCTGCAACTGCCTTCAGGGCTACAAAATCGTCTACTTTGGTGAATCCGAAAGTGCCGTCTGCTGATGACTTGGCCTCATCGGCTGTGTCTTTGCAGCTGTCTGGGCTGAAATACCAAAGCTCGACGTATTCGAAAGATTTTAGCTTGTGAATGGCGTATTGGGATGGGCAGTGAGTGAGATTATCACTGACAGATGTCCCTACCTTGAAGTCGTTAATTTTCGGCTTCTTTTTCTCCACCTCTTTATGCTCAGTCTCAGCTTCCTGCTCTGCAAGCTGGCATTCTTGGTCGATGCACTCTTGCTTGGTGTGGGCAGCCTCTGCTGCTAGCCAGGTTGCTTCATTTTCCTGGATGGTCCAAGCTGCGAGACGAATGTCTCTGTCTTGCCACCAACCTGTAATCAGTTCATTCGCAGCTTCATCGTGTGTCATCTGGGTATTCCCGATGATACGATTCCTGATTCCTTCGAAGGTTAAAGATGCGAAGTCAGGCTCAATGTCTAGAGCTGGGTCTGATGCAATGTGTGCCATGTTGAATATATGAAGATGGACATATTAAATTTATGGATAGGCTTATGCAAAAGAGGGTGTAGGAGTTCTGAGAAAAGAAAAGAGCTCGGCAACAGACTTGTCGGTGACTTTGCTGATGGGTGAACAGAAACAAGAGCTGACGGCTTTTTCTGCTCGTCCAAAGACCAAACTCTAAGACTACGCTCATACCTCGCTTTGTCATAGAGTGACAACTTCTAGAGGTGGATTCTGGTATTTCATCACATTCATTTATGCCTGCACGCATTATCTAGTTGTTAGGCTACTAAAGATGAAGGATGAAGCTCTCGAACTCACAAAATCATATTTCGAGCGAGCAGAAGCCGAAAACAGGGGAGCGCACAAATATATTTCACAGTGCTGGTGGTGGAGAGTATGGTTCTAAAGCCTTTCAAAAGTACCTGGAGTCAAAAGGTATCCACCATGAAAGAACTGAACACATACACACTGCAGGAGAATGGAGTTGCCGAACGCATGAATCAGATGCTCATAGAGTCCGCACTGCGCAATGCTAAGTGACGTGGGCTTTCCTAAAAAGTATTGGAGTGATGCTATCCTCCATGCTGCCCATATCACCAATTGAGTACCGACACGAGCTCTAAAAGAAGACATTACCCCCTTCGAGGCTTTCACTGGCAATAAACCAGTCAGTATCGCACTTGAGAATTTTTGGATGCAAGGCTTTTATGCACGTACCAAGCGAACATCATCAAAAACTCAATGCAAAGTTGATAGAGTGCATTCACCTGGGATATGTGGAGAACAGAAAGGCTTATGTCTGCCTAGAAAGTTTGAGTGGGCGCATAGTTGAATCCAGGGACGTTGTATTCCAAGAGGAGAATGATGGGAGGTCAAGCTGAGTGAAGATAACTGTTAATGAAAGCAAGACCCTCCAAATCAGTCAACAGCATGCACATTCAGGACAAAATTCCCTACCAGCCGTTTCAAACTCTAAAGATGCAGAACAAGTCCACATTGAGGAGGTTGCAAACACAGAAGAGGATCTATGATCCGAATCTGAAAAGGAGGAAACTCCTGCTGATACAAGTCAATGTGAAGTTAGTACTGAAGTTTCACAACGTATCTCTGCTAGACTGGCATGCACAATCAAAAGGACCCCCCACACCACATCCTCATCCAGTTCCACCACGTGAGGTTTGATGATCTGCTCGAAACCAAAAAGCTCCAGTTCCTGATGACGATCCTTGTTATTTCGTCAATGCATATGAAAAGTCGACCCTCAAGACTCACCATGAAGAAGATCCAAGCATGAGGACAGAGGAAAGGACTAAAGCTGTTGAGTATGAGAGTGAGAAGGAACTTGCGGATGAGTATGAGAGTGAGAAGGAGCTTGCGGATGAAGAACATGCTTACCATGTGGAGATAGCTGAAGAACCTAGGATGTTCGAAGAAGTGGCAAATCAGCCAGATGCGAACCTATGGCAAGCTGCCATGCTGGAGGAGCTGAGAGTTTTTGAGAAGATCAGCCTATACAAGGAAGTCGAAAGACCAAAAGGACAGAAGGTTATTGACTCCAAGTGGGTATATAAGATGAAAAAGGGACCTACCAGTGAGATAGACAAATATAAGGCCCACCTTGTCGCCAAAGGATTCACCCAGGTCAAAGGCATCGACTACATGGAAACCTTTGCACCCGTTACAAAATTCTCAACTATCCGGATGCTTCTAGCACTAGTGGCTGAATATGATCTAGAGATACATCAAATGGACGTCAAATCAGCATTTCTCAGTGGTGAATTAGACGAAGAAATTTACCTAGAAATTCCTCCAGGATTCCATGAATTGTCATACCAAGTCTGGAAGCTCAAATGAGCACTGTATGGATTGAAATAGGTGTACAAGGCCTGGTACAAGCATTTGCGCACCATCTTCGAAGGGCTTGGGTACACACACTGTGAATTGGATCACAGTGTGTTCTTGAAAATAATAGAAGGGACTCAAATCATAGTAGCCATCTATGTCGACGACAAGATGATATTCTCAAAAGATCTGAAGCTAATCAATCAGCTCAAGGAACAATTACAGAAGGAATACGAGCTGACAGACCTTGGAGAAGCGCATTGGATCTTAGGGATGCAGATCATATGCGATCAGGACAAGAGAACGATTGAGTTATCACAGGAGCACTACATTGAAAGTATTCTTGAACATTTCAATATGCAGGACGCACGGCCAGTCACGACACCAATGGATCCTAACACCAAGTTAGTGAAACGGGAGAGTGCCGAGACCAAAATCAGACCTTACCAGAGTGCATTTGGCACGATCATGTATGTGATGCTTGCTACACAGCCGGATCTAGCATTTGCAGTAGGAGTATTGAGCAAACACTCTGCTACACCCAGACAAGAGCATTGGACCACGCTAAAACACGTGTATTGCTACTTGCATAAGACTTCTAATCAGCGACTCAGTTTCAATGGAAAGGAGAAGTCAGACATACAAGGATATGTGGATGCAGATTGGGCATTGGACGTGAACGATCAGCGCTCAATAACAGGATATGTTTTCCTGATGGCAGGAGGCGCAGTGAGCTGGCAGTCAAAGAAACAAGATTCTGTAGTGCTTTCAAGCACTGAAGCAGAATATATGGCAGCCGCATCAGCTGCAAAAGAAGCTATATGGATAAATACCTTCTTGGATGAACTCAAGTTCCACAGATCCCAGAAGACCCTAATCCTCATTGACAATCAGTCTGCTATCTCGCTCACAAAGAACGCTGTCTTCCATAGCCACATGAAGCACATCATGATCCGCTATCATTTCATACGTGAGAAGGTCGACAATGGGGAGATCGTACTAAAATACGTACCAACGAATTGGCAAGTTGCGGACGTCTTGACAAAGGCACTGGGAAGAGAGAAACACGAACAGTTTGCATGCAGAATGGGAGTGATGAGTAGCTGATAATTCGCCAAGTGGGCGTGTTGTTTGTTTGTTGATTTCTGAATGTGGCAAGTACAGCTTACATAATCACATCGGTACATACAGAGGACTTAGACCTCAGTCCACTACACTATGAGTGTACAGCTGAGGTGAGACACTCTTTATTATACTTTATTCATTAACTGACTTTCCTAGTATACACTCATTTGTTTTAGGTTAGTTATTAAGTCCACTACACTCACTGGGGAAGTGAGAAAATGATCAGACCATATTCCGAGGGAGAAAGGCCCAGTGAGTAGACACAAAATGTACCTAGCTGCTAATCTGACACAAATCCGATGTATCGTAAATTTTGAAACAAAGTCGTCGACTACAATTTAGTACAAATATAAACAGACTCTTTTCGGACGTCACCACTAAGTCTTTTCCGACATCCGCTTATGATCTTCAACCACTTACTGTACCAATGCCAACTAACCCGGGAACTCAACACATTTCCACGTCTGCACACGATTGGAAACAAGTAAGGTACATTTTTGAAAATTTCTCTAAGTCCATCATCAACTCAAACTATGTCAGACAACGCAGCAAAGATTAAGCTCGAACTACCTTCGAAACTACGGACATTCAGTTTTACTTTTGAAACCAAGCGGCCAGGGCCTGTGGTAAGTCCCAGATTTAAATACAACTAATTAACTAAGTGCTTTTGTAGACAGTCGAAATCTCGCTACAACAGCCCACCAAGTGGCCCAGATTACTACAAGTTCCTGAACATGTCGACCTCAACGCGACTGAACCTGAAACTCCCGACCGACTTCAAGTTATGCGCTGGCAAGAGGCCCAGAAATACAAAGTAAGTACTGTGCATTTTATGGCTAGCTAATTATCCTAACTAATATGCTTGGAAGAAAGATGCAGCTGAAGCCATGGCGTGGTTTGATGCAGAAGAGGCCTTCGATAGTAGTGACACAGAGAAAGAGACTCCAGCAGAGTTCACCCGCTGGTACCAGGCCAAGGAGGCTGTAAGTTTGTTTGTCTGTCTATGATATTGGCACTTTACTAAATATTATCTATTAGTTGAACAACCTAGCTCAAACTTCTCTCGTTGATGATACATAGCACGAGGTCATGGACATGCAGAGCAGGGGAATCAGACCTGATTTTATGTATTAACACCTTTGAAATACAGTTTTTATGAGCTGTTACTTGTTGCGTGCTCATACTAAAAAGGTTGTGTTCACGTGATTTACTGAAATCTCTTCCGAGTCGCGTCTTTGATAACTTTCTTGTCTTTGCCCAACATGCCACAATGCAACTGCACTACATGCAACGGCGCACTCGTTCCTGCGCATGTAATTCGCAATCATAAACGCTCGAACTTACTGAACGAAACTCTCCAATCACAAATTCACTACAAGCGCATCGCCGGACGCATCATACCAGGACCTCAGTCAGATGTGGGCCCTGTTCCTCGTGGTTTTGCTGTCTCGTTATGCGAACCAGCTCCATCGCTGTCACCACACTTCGAGCCCCACTTCTCGGACTCCGCAGTACTTGACTCTGGCTGTCTTAGAGATGAAGATCTTCGTATCACCACCCAGGATGATGCCATGCCTCACCTTGGCCCCTTTCATAGTCTGGAGGCATTACTTACAGCTGTCAATCACTTTGACAAATATAATTCTGCAACAGCTGCAGGATCACGGCCACTCACGCCTCACGATGCACATCATCTTCCTGCTGACCCAGACCAGGCTAATTTTGATAGGGAACTTCAAAGGGCTTTGGAATATGTGCAAGAACACCAGGACGAGGAAGAAGAGGCCGATCCTGACATGGAGGTTAACACTGATGAATACGAGGATCTTGCAGCACCTGCACAACCTGGCGAGGATAATCCGGACCCCTTTCTGATCCCAGATGATTTGTCTGCAGAAGATGCCACGGACCTAACACATCTTCCTGGTCACCTTCTCTCTATATATGCACTCGTCTCATGGCTCCACTTACAATTTCATCTCCCCAGGGTCACGTGCAACGCGCTGCTTACTATTCTTGGATTCGTTTTGCTTTCCATTTCACCCAACATCGAGACACCCTTCGTCACCCTTCAATCAAGTAATCGAGTTCTAGGCATCGACAAGCCTATCTACACACTACCGGTCTGTCCATCCTGTCGCAACATTTTTCCTCCAGCATGTTCGCCGAAATCACAGGATATATGCCCGAATTGTCGCATAGATTTATTCCTTCCTGATCTCACTGCCCATGGAAACCAGCACACCATGAAGATACCAGTAGTGAAGTATCCTTATCTTCCTCTCTCCCATCAGTTCAAATCCCTGCTGAAGATACCTGGTCTTGAGGCACTTCTTGATAGCTGGCGCTCCAAACCGCGTGCACCGAATCAATATTTGACGGTAGTATGTGCAGAACCAAGCTGAAATCACCTGATGGCAGCTTGTTCTTCTCTAATCTTCCTCACGAGTGGCGGGGACCAAATGGTGAACTACGAATAGGTGTCAATCTTGGAGTTGACTGGTGAGTTCAAATCTACCTTTTTCACAACCTATTCACTCCGTTATCCAACAGGTTTTCCTATATACGAAGCAATATTGCCCCGTCGCACTCCTCATGTCCGACCTCGTTCTCAATATCTAATCTGCCACCGGAATATCGGTAAGTACTTAGTTGACCTTCGTGCTAACATTTGTATTCACATGATAGTATCTAGATATCACACGTCCAACTTAATGTGTACAAGTATACTACCGGGCCCAAAGGAACAAAACCCCGACCAAATCCAATGATTTCTTCGACCGATCATCTCTGATCTCCTTCGATTATGGCGAGATGGTATCAAGATACCTACTGAGTCGTGTCCAGAAGGTAAGCCAACTCACAGATTTTGATTTTTTCAATATTAATGTTAATCTAGGTCGCCTCGTTCGAGTGATACTGGTAGCTGTTGTGTGTGACAAGCCAGCCACACACAAAATCGGCGGTTTCGCTTCTCACTCTCACACTAACTTTTGTACGTGTTGCTGGATCAGTATTGCCAGCAAAGATAAGGCATCTGCCTTTGAGAAGGGAGGTACGTAGATACAACCATCTCCATTGGGGGGCTTAATTGTCTGGTTTTTACTGACTAGATGTGTCCAGCTTTCAAAGTTCGCACTGATGCTCAACACTGCGAATTAGGCGAACTGTATCGCAACCTGACGACGCCAAATGCTCGCAAAACCTTTGTCAAGGATTTTGCGACGCGCTATACGCAGCTCTCACATTTACCTTATTTCAATATTGTCGAGCAGGTGATCATTGATCCAATGCACAACTTATTTCTCGGTAAGTGCGCTACCCTCCCTTAGTACCTCACACCTGATCTGATGTTTGAAGGTCTTGTTAAAACACACTTTTATAATATTTGGGTGCAAAACAAGATTTTGCGCCCTAACTACGAGCTGCAGACATTTCATGAGATGTTGGCTGACATATGATCGTATTTTTCGTTCTATTACTTCGCTAATTGCTCTCGTAGTTCATCGTTCCAGGATCCTGTGGTAAACTCCCTATGGATATAGGCATGCCATCAGGCGGCTCTCTTACAGCCGACCAATGGCTACTGCTCTCCACTGTATACGGTCCTATCATCGTACGTGATCCGTCTTGTACTTTTACGATCTCACACTTGTCAAAATTCAGATTCCACAGTTGTGGTCCACTTGCCTACCCTCTGATACTGACAATCAGATCTTGCAGCAACATTTTGCGATGATACAAAGGTCAGAGGCGGATAAGCAAGCCCAGGCAACTCACAAAGCTGAAGACAAGCAAGCACTTGCTGAAGCAAAAAAGCGCGGTAAAGAGGCCTTTGAGGCGGAGAAAGCACGTATAGCCTCACAGAAACTTGCTGACGCAGAGGCGAAGAAAAACAAGTTGAGACTTACCGCCGTCAAACAGGCCGAGAAGGCACAACTCGCTGCCGAAAAGAAGGCAAGGGCAGCTCAGAGGAAGGGGAAATGCAAAGCGACGGAGCAAAGTGTCCCAGACTTGCCTGAAGGTCAACCCTGGTCTTGTCCACCACCACGAGAATCGACGTCCTCGACAGCTCAATTCCTCCTGCAAGATCCAGAATATATGGATGATATAGACCCGCAGGCTGACGACCTTAAGTTCTCCCTTCATCCTGAGGATCCTGCCAACTTCCTTAAACTATCTGCTGTGCTTCGCATACTAATAAAACATCAGCTCAGCGACGAGGACCTCGATGAAGCGGATCAATTGATTCGAGATTACTGTACCGAGCTTCTTAATGTAAGTCATCTGCAAGTGATTCACAGACGCGAGTACTGATATCTATATCCAAGCTTTACAGTTCAAATGTTGTCAAGCCCAATCATCACTACACTACACATGTCGTCGAGTACGCGCGAAACTTTGGACCTCTACACGACTTCTGGACTTTCCTTTTCGAACGTTTGAATAAGGTCCTCAAATCTTACAAAACGAACAACCATGCGAATGGAGAGCTCGAGACCACCTTCTTCAGTGAGTTTCAGCGCACATGTCAGATGGGCCGAATGGTATGATTTCTACTTCGTATATATGTAGTTACACTTACTCAGTTAGACCTATGCTCTCCACCAGTATCCAACAGAGACACTTCCTCACGAAGTCGCAAATGTCATGATCAAGGCATCTAACGAGGAACGGGGTACTGTGGCAGGTTTAGCGGCACTCACAAAGGATCTTGATGATGCTGTCGTCGACGGTGAGTCATTATTAGGCTCATTTTTCATACTAACATGTTTTTATTAGCTGTTCAAATATATTCACTAAGTCCACGACATCGCAAGAGGGACATGTCTATGGACACCTATAGGCTTCTTGCTCAGTCGCTTTGCTTCCGGTTTCCACACACGCCCGTTCACTGTCGCACGGACCGTGCCATTGTACCCCAGAGTCTTCCCCTCAATCGCCAGACGGTCTTCTTCGACTATGTCATTGTTGACGGGAAAGCGTTACTACGCTTCCCGTACAGTCGGATCCAACCGCTCCTCGTTTGTACATGTTCATATACCAACTGACACATTGCCAAGACAAGCCCACGGTGAGATACTGGAAATTTTTCAGCTTGATCAGAATTTCCACGGAGAAGAGAAAACGATGTGGTTCGCTCGGATGAGATGGTTCAAACCGTGGGGTGGTGAGACCTCTAATTTAGTATGGGATACGTTGTATGTTGCATCATTGTTAATTTTCATGAACCTACTGACACTTTGAAAGCTCAACTGTCGGTGTACGCCTTTGGGAATTGGGAGAATATCGGGATCGCGACTGTCAGCTGCCACTCCTTATCGAGCCAGACTGGATCGTTAGCCAGCTTGGAATGACAACCGTCTCCATCAGCAAGAACAAAACAAAAGTCTGGGCAACAATTAATCTTTCAAAGGTATGGTTTACTCTCATACAAAATATATACTAACACTGCGCAAAAAAACTTTACAGTGACAACAAACTTGCCAGTGAGCGGGATGCGTCATTTGTCAGCGCCAGTTTGCTCGTCTTCAGAACTCAAATCCCCGTGTTCGTGCCACTCATTCAACTCCTTCAAGAACACCAGGTCTTGCTTATAGAAGTCCTCATGCTTGTCCTTGTGTTTCTCATAGAAACCATCCAACCACTCCCCGCCTTCAAGGAATACCGTATCTGGGTATTTCTCCATCCAGGATTTGGTGATCATCAACTTGAAAGGCACGGTCTTCTTGCTGGCGAATGGAGGGTCTTTGCTCATCTTACTTGGTGCGAGGTCAAAGGTGTTCTTGGTGAGTTTCTTTTTTACGACCTTGCGGCGCTTCGATGCTGGCTCATTCGTGTTGGCATTGTCAGGATCTCTCTTGTTCTTCAAAGTGAGCCAGCGTCCAAACGCAACAAACTTTTCAAGACATGTGAGTAAATATTCGATAGCATTTAAAAATGACAGTATAAACTTACATCAGGGCTCCTCCACTGCAAACCTGCCACCATATCAGCGCCTTCGCCAACACCCGCCTCCTTCCTTCTCTCCAGCATGTCCTTGCTAAGTTCTTGATCAGACGCATAAGATAGTATATCCAACGCAAAATCAGTGTCCAGGATCACCATCACCCCCTGGATCCCTGTCTCATTTTCATATACTTTTGCAGGCCTTTCGACGGCAGTTTGTAGCCTAAGGTGCGTCAGCTCATCAAAACTTAGTGTGCAACTTCATGGTTCAACTGACCGCTTGCCGACGGGAACAGTGTTTGCTATTAGTTTTCCGTGCCAAAGCCTTCAGTCCCAACTCTGCGTTGTTGAGCTCCTTGTATTGCTTGTGTATGTTTCGAAAATATGCTTTGGCGCACTCGCTAATGATTCCAGTTTCGTAGGTGCTATCTGGGATTTCTCCCTTTCCGTTTTTGTCACAAAGGTCCTAGTGTTTTATGGTGAGATCCAGTCCATCAAATTGTCTTGATCTCACCTTCTCATTTATTCCACATCAAGGTAACGACTTCTTGGATGAACGCAGCATTAACATCATCGTCTATGTTAGCTTGCCACTTCGGAAACCAAATCTTCCTGCCGTCCTCGTCCGTTTCGAATGGTTTGCCGGTCTCCAACGGTTTGACATCGCAAAGCAACTTGATACACTTCAATTTGGTGAGGTTGCTGTTAACATTGCACAGGTCATAGAAGAGTGGGTGCAGAAGACCCTACGGTGCATTATTAATTGGTTTGTTGTGTCAGAAACGCTAAGCTTACTTTCAAAGCGCGATGTTTGATGGATATGTTGTGACAAACAGTTTTTTTTTCCCCGTCGGTGCCTGGTTTGGTTCCATCGTTATCTGGGCTATCTCCGTCTGGAGGGTTTTGACCAAAGTCACTGTCGATTCTAGCTCCCTGGTAAGTTTCTCATTCTCTGCCATCATGTGCTGATATAATTGCTGATTTGCTTCTTCTAAATTTCCCATCCTAGCAGCGAGGTTTGAAACCGAGTTCTGAAGCTCGTACCCCGCAGAATCATGATAAAGAGGTCTGTGATTGAAGCCTAGGTGCAGCATCATATGGGGCTGATGATGTGCAGGACCCAAAAGCTGACCGTAGTCGCCTCCAGGTCCAAGAGAGGGTGCACGAGACCCAGAGGACTCACTTCCCAAGAACGGAGTGCGAGAGTTGTGTCCCAGGTATGGTGTCCCGCCCTGAAATGACGGAGTGGCTAAATTTTGCGATACGCTAGGGGGACGCATTATACTATGGGATGGTGTTCGATACTCCTGCGCCGGCGGCTTGGCAGCTTCAGCCTGAGGCGGTCTACTGAAAAACTCATCCACCTGTGGCAGCGCATGACCACCAGCATTCAATAGCGGGGTTCCTGGAGTCAGCAGAGGCGGTAACTGGTATTGATTCAGGTTTGAGTCATGGCCTGGGGAACCAAACTGGTATGGATTCGAGTTTGAGTCGTTTGTTGGCTGATTGTCTTGATTTGGGAAGGTACTGGGAGGAGCACCGCTAGGGCGGCGTTGTGCCCCATACATCATTAGATGGACAAGGGGATGCGGGGAGTGGGGAAAAGCTAATGCGAAGCAACCAGAAGCTGGCAAATCCCCAGAACCATAGGGATCCTCACATTTGTAACCAGACGCTAATCCAAGTCAAATACGATTGTATTCAGACGCAAATCATCATGTGGTTTGGCTTCTATTGTTTCTGTGCACCTCCGGAACTTCGAGTTTTCCAGTGTCACATAATGGTCTGAATTGAGGATCTCTCGCGACTCTAACACCCCGGAATCTGTGCCATATCCTATGTCTGTTTACATACTGTTTACATGGTCTTTTCGTACCCTTTCCAGATCTGATCAGTTTCTCACTTCCGCAGTGACTACGAGTGTATGGCTGAGTATACACTCATTTGTTTTAGCCTTCCATTTGTTCCTGTGTGTTGCAACTTCAAACAATAAATCAGTCAAATGGAGAGGACAACCGCCCCATGAACAACCCTGCCAAATGATGCCCCCAGTCTAGGGTTATTATTGCAAGTTCCCTGCAATCAGAGGGCTCTCCACCAATCACACTCATTCCTGCTCCATGTCACAAGTTTTTGCTGTGGATATAAGTCAATATTTCTGATATACTATTTGCCTGCTCTTCGCTCAAATTTATAGCTAGTGTGCCGTTTGAGCTTGCCATGAGCCTGCAAACAACATGCTCAAACAAGTGCTTACTAGTGAGCCAAACATGTTTTTTGGATGCGCATCCTTGTTACAGTACACTACGTAAGCCCCCAGCTACCGACCTGCCCTCTGCCACCTTGCACAGCAAATGACAAGATACCCAGGCCTTTAGGCCTTGATGATAAGAAGATAGAAGAAGATAAGCCCGGAAGATGCCGGCTTAGATAAGTGGTCTGGACCACATATGATGACATAGGTCTAGAAGACCTATTTATGTTATCAAGATAGAAGGCAAGCCTCATGTTGCCTCATGCACTGATAGAAGGATGCCTTGTGGTCCTATCTTAGATAGAAGCCTGCCTCATGCATGATATCTCTGACTCAATAGATAAGCAGATTAGAACCCAGCTTCTAGCTGAGCTTAGATACGATAGAGTAGCTTTATATAAGGTCAAAGATCAAAGTAGATGTTCCTTACTTTAATCTTACTGGGTTTTACCTTGAACTCCTTGTCCAGCTAAAGCTACTTGCTTGACATTTGACTCATACCTCCAGAAGGACCCTTCCAGAACCCCTCTGTCTGTAACCTGCTATAATCGCCCGTAATCCCTCGCTATCCACCATGAGCTACGCCAGCATACACAACTCATGCTTGTCTGTGGGAGCCGAAGAACCTCAGCACTTGGTACCACTGTCGTGGTTGTCGCTGACTAGATCATCCCAGTTTGCATGCGACCTTGTGTCGTAACAGTCCTCACCTTTCCTTCTCAAGTATTCCCTAATCCAACTAATACAAATACCTCTCCTCACAATCTCTGGACCACTACACCCACATCTACACACGAATGGAATTCTCATGCACCCAATAACAATTCTCTTCAATGTGCTTGTTACTGGCAAACACATCCTCTTCCTTGGTCATAATATCCCTGCTGGACAGGTCGCCAATTATGCCCTTTCTGCTTGTGGCCTGGGCTCTGGATGTGGTGCAGTACTACAGTGATTCATTGAGCGATTATTTCCTTACATTGGCCTTGCGGGCAAGGACTCTTCTTATGAAGAGATCCACATCTCATGTGGCGGTCCGTGGGATTATGGCATTTTTCATCCTGGGACGAAAAATGCTGTAATGAGATGTCAAGTCGTGTGCGTCAGTTTTCAGATGCAATTGCCACAGTCTCACTGACACTTAACAACAGCACCTCATTGGCTCTGTATGTTCCACGTTTTTCTGAACATTGTCCATGAAACTCACACTCGGTCCCACAGTTGCATGAGTTATCATTCTACTTGCATGCTGCCTTTTTTTCCTCATGTCTTTACTCGTACCACTGGTTACCAGAGCTGTGTGTTGTCAAATCCTGTGCTATTAGCCAAGTGATGTCGACCCCCATTATATGCACGGGTGCATGACTTATTTCTCTACCTGCATGCCGTCTTCTTTGCATGCTAGGTAAGGCATGGCTGAGGGGTGGACGGACGTGCGGGAGTCTGTTGGAATGGGTGCATCTATTCATTTATTATTTCATTATCTTTCATTGAAATGCCAATAAGGATCTCAGAGTATGCACCATCTTGGCTTTCCTATTGCTGTTGGAAACACTCGCGTATAGACATTCTGTATTACCAAGATTCAGCGCTCCTCATGTGCCACTTCCAACTCGGAGGTGAGCAATCCTCAAGACCACAGTCACTCTCTAGCCTTCACACATCACATCCTGTGGCTGACGCTCGATCAGAGGAACATTGTACACATTTGAGCCCCTCATCATGGCAGTGGCAGCTGAGTGTACTGGGGCATTTCATGTCCCTCTCAAATGGTGACAACTAACTAGATATAAGTATATACTCTGTCTACCTTTGCAATGCACTTCAGTGACAGCCTCATGCATGCATCTCTATTGCAGTCTCTTAGTTCTATTGCAGTCTCTTAGTAGCATTCTGCTTGGCCGTGAAAGTGACAAAGTACATGATTCTGCAGTACTGATGTTCACATCAATGAGGCGATCTACAAGCCAAAGTAACTCACAAGATGAACACTCTGATCAGGTAATTTTATACAGCAAGAATGGTAGTGTGCCAAGTACTAAAATGCTACGTAATGAAAGGTTGCAAGCCGAAGATGTGACAGAACTTATTACATATATGTGTGGTCCTGAAACTGTTGAAAGCAGATGTGCAGTTTCCTCCACCAAAATTGTTCATGAAAGCTCTAGAGAAGGCTTGTGTTAGCATGACAGTCCAAGGCTTAGTAGTAGGTACAAACTCACGAGCCTGTTAGCACTTGGCAATCTGTAAGGAGGTTACCAGAATCTATGCCAAGTGCAGTCAGTTAGCTGTGGGTACAGTCAGGTGAGAGGTTGAGGACTCGCCTTGGAAATCAGATAGATATACCATGTTGTTAATAAGGTGATACTGCACGTGTTGAACAAAGCATAAAAACAGTCCGATGACTGCTTCTCTGCCCTCTAGATTATGGGCAGGGACAGCAGAGTTGTTGTTGATGTACTTGACGAATTTTCCACTAATCTGCTCCTTGATGAGATAGTTTGCGCCGAGGTCGTTGTTGGGGTCGTCGGGAATGGCTAGTGCCGCACGAACCAGCCTTAGACGTGGTAACTCAACCTCGACATCTTGGCTCACATTGCCAGTCTTGAGCATCTCATCAATGAAGGTGTACGCCATACCGAGCAATGATGTGCCCCAGTAAAGGCAATTCACCTCATCAAGTGTCTTTTCCAGCTCATCCTCCCTTGCAAAGCGGCAATACCCCATGGTTTGGCCCTTCCAAAAAAACATGTGTTTAGCTACAACCTGCTCAGCTGACAGAACAGATGGTGGTGGTGATGTAGACATGGATGGGACAACGTCTGCATTTGAAATCAAGGCAGGGTGACACATTTTGAAGCTTCCTGCCAAGCCAATCATAGATTTGGATCTGGTGTCAATGGTGAGTGCGGCAACAGTGTACTTGCTATCAATAGTACTGAATGGCGTAGAAATGAGCACTGCGAAGCCAATAGAAGGGATGTCAAAGAGACGAAAGGTGATAGGGACACATCCAGCACCTGTCATCACATAATGTGAGCTAGTTGACTGATTCTAAAAGTTCAAGGCACATACCTATAATAGAGGATGCTTGTTTTCTAACATTTCCCTGAGCTTTCATGGCCGCTTGTAGTTGAGATTGGCTGGGTAAGAAGAGTTGTTTTGATATGTGAGCACTTGCTGCTAAGACAGGTTATGACTGTTCCAGCTTTGAAGGGCCCCCACAGACATCAGATTGGTCTTCATCCTTTGAGACATTGTTGCCTGCCAGGACCTCACTAATTTCAGATATCAGAAACTGTGGTATCAAATATGGTTAGACCTGCCAATATATGAGCACCTCAACTCACCTTCCTGGAGCGCTTGTGTGCAGGGCAGCATGGTGGCAATAGCTAGAATTGTTGCTGCTACCTTCACTTTGCAGTACCCTTTTCTTTGCAGGGATACTAGATGCTGATTTAGCACATTTTGCACATCAGTGTCGACACTTGGTGCAATGTTCTGTGAGATTGAGCTAAGTGTGAAAGGTATCACTGAAAACATGAAAAAAAGACCTACATTGACACATTGCTCTTGCCAGAGCAACACATCCTCAAACTGCACATTTGTCATTACAAGAAGGATGGCAACATGGGCATTTGCAAAAAATTTAAGTGTGGGGTCCTTGGCATTGCATGCACGAAGAATTCTTGTAGGACTGGTTCATTAGCGCCAATGGATGGTTGTCTCAGGTCATAAAGAATCAACTTTGGTGATTTGTGCATTTCCAGGCTATAGAGGGAGAGAGTGTGGCTGTGCGACCACTCTGCCCATAATCGTTCGAGCTGGAAGTGCCCTGACGATGCTGCCTGAGCCATCTTGCTGTGATGCAGCTGGTGCATGGCATGATTGGGTGTATATCCCATGCTCACGTGTGCAGGAACTGAAGGAGAAGGCATTTTTCCGTGATCACCTGCCAGCATGTGGGCTGGATGGCCAAAGCGCTGACTGGGAAAGATGTTGTTTATAAGATAGTACTATTAAGCTTCATACACAAACCAGAAGCCCTCAGAGCATGACAAACCTCCACATTGCACTGCTGACATTGCTTTTACCAGCTCATGTCTTGAGGGCTCAGCAGCTATGAAGTCTGTGACATGAATGATAATGAATTTGATTAGTTTTGGACTTAGACTCGGACTCATCAAAGTTGGACTCACCAATGCTTGTAGCTTGCTGGCCTCGAGTCTATTCTATAGCTTTACGTCCCTCATAATGCCATCCACATATGTTTGAGTCACGTCAGCATTTGCTAATGTGTGCTGGACATATGTGCTAAGCACTAGCAGCTGACCTGCAGGTTTACCCTCACCACATGACACCAGCCTACAGAGCCGTGGCCTGTTGGGCTCAAGCCCCCGGCTTGGGCCTGGCTTGGGCTCACAGCTCAGGCTCTGATTTTCCTAAGCCTGGGCCGCTCCAAGCTGAGCCTAAGCCACAGCTTTAAGCCCAAGCCAGGCCGGAACATCACTAACGCTGACAAAGTCTCCAGCTGTTTGGATTCATGGGAGTAAAGTCTGTCATGGTGTATGCGAAGGAGGAGCAAGAGATGCTGGAGGCTTTTGAACCATGTTAGACATACATATAATAGTCCAAGTGATTTTCCAAGTGATTTGTAGTCATGGTTGTTCTTTTGAAGTGTGATTCTCAAGTGGTCGAATAAAGGTGTCTGTCTTCCCAGATCTTGTAGCCTGATAGCTAGCCCTTTGATGCACTGGACCAACCGACTGAGCCTGACTCAAACATGTCAGAAGACACCATGCTTTGAGCATCATGATCCTGAGCAGTTGTTCAAGGGAAAGCAAGAAGAGTTCGATAAGGTGGTATGTGATACTGACACCAGTGATACCAGTCTCAAACAGGAAATCAATTGTACTACAATATCGATGGCACCAACAGATGTGGACTAAGATAGACTACAGTACTACTTGACTTACTGAATCTAAATTGCCTCCTCATCTGTCCAGGTAAACTTGTAGAAGTCAGACTCTTCATCTGATGAGTTGACTGCCGCAGATTCACCAGTGGGTACATGATATCCAGTATTAAGTCTCTGAAAACAATTCAATCAGTGTAAATGTGTCATGACAGAGCATCATATACAAATCATGTGTGCTTGACCATGGGCAGATGTAACTCCCCACTGTGAATGTCGCTTTTTCAAGAGGCTCAGTCTGATAATTCAAACATCACCTCAGGCAGCACTTCTCAGTAGTAATAAAGGGTCTCAGAGACCTGGTTTCTATGTTATGGGAAAGTTATCTACGAGACCAGACCTCTCTACCGTCTATTAATAGATATCATCCTTAATCACCTCCGGCAGCTCTGGTGCCACCCGTAATAGCCTCATGTGCTATTAACGAGCCTCCATGTAGCCACTCATTCTTTGCTGCTGGCTCTGAGGAGCCTCACTGCATCCCCTTTATATTATTATAAGTCCACTCTGCAGTGGTTTCTTTAGTACTGCAACGACGTCTCCATCACCATCAATGCCAGGCAGGGCATGATCTTCTCGCCAGTCTCAAGTTGTGTCCTCTGGTCTTGGCCACCATTTTGTGAGCCCGCATAAAGCTCGCAACAAGAAGAAAAGTCAAGTTTTGATTGAGATGCCTGGTGCAGAGGCCAAACGGCGCTGCCTTCTTGCTCGGATGGAACAGTTGATGAGTCTGGAATGTCATCATGCATCATAATCACCATCCTTGCATATGAACAGCACAACGAACGAACTGCCTGATCCTATGGATAATTCTATCAGTTACTCGGACAATATGGAGATGTTTGTGCCCGAAGTAGAACCTCCCAACTTCACTCCTGAACAGCCGCTGTCCAGATGTTGTATTTCACCCAACAAATCAACTGACACACTATACCATAGCTGGTTAGCACTCATCTCAACTCTTGTTGAACCCCAAGTCCGATATACCGTGCGGACACAGGGCCAACCCTTGGAAAGGGTCAATGAAATTATATCTGCATGCACCACTCTCCAATACACAGGGAAACAAACGACTTTGATTTGTTTATTTTTTGACTGTAAGTCCTCAATCACACACAAGCAATGATGTTTAAATGTCATTAGGATTCACATCTGTTGATGTTTTGAGCTGCGACTGTTCCTCACTTCCCCAAGTCCTCATCCACCATGGCTTGTTCCCTACTGCACCATCCCAGCCTTGTATAGCAGTTTCACTTGACTTATTGTCGTTTTACCAGACACTCTTCAAGCGCTCTTGTGATGCAATCAATGCACACGTGTCTGCTCTCAAGATGTATTATTCCCGCCAAGGCTTTCAAATGACTGACAAAAAAGTACGTTCAATCAATGCGCCATTGGACACTAATGATGTTTTTCTCTGAAGGGTGAATTAATTCATGACCCTTTTCATCATGGGCTTGACTATGCAGTCCAATGGTTCGACATCCTGCAAATTGAAGTCGAACACCAACTCAACCCACTACTCCAGCAATGTCAGGATCGTGTTGCAGAGTTCAAGGCATCATTGCCAGCCCCCAAGATATTTCCTGACCAACAGCAACCTCCAGAGCCAGCCCCTTCCCCACCCATCTCACGCCAGAATCGATGTTCGCCCCTTCTTGTCCAGCGGTGCCCTGCATGTTTCGGTGGTGTATTGTATGGGAAACCTACTGACAATGGTGGCGATATACATGTCGCAACAGATGGAAATTTCCACCATCACCATTGGCACTCTGCAGGCGGCTGTCCACAATTCTATAACCCAACTTATTTTCTCCCTAAAGATTTTGTTGATGAAGTTGGCCACCAGATAGATTCCCAATGCAAGCGGCCTCCTAAGGCTTGTAAGCTTGTTGTACCTGATGAAGCCATCAATTTATGCGAAAATGCTTACGAGGCTGCTGATGGGAAAAAGCAGAAGGCTGCTATGGACAGTTTTGATGATACGGGAGTTATGGCTCTCATTTGTCGCCATGACATTCCTTTATTTTTTGCTAACATAGATTCACCCGGCAAGCAACAAAAATATTCTGTTGCTCTTCTACAACACTTACTTACTTTGCTGCCCCCTCAGGCGACTGTTGTCGCCTTGTACGATGTTGGATGTGTTCTCGCACGGTCACTTTCAAAGGTAGATTCCTCAGTCTTCATTGTATCACCATGCTTATTGAAGGTTAGTATGAAATCCTTCCAGAAGATATCACAAACCGCCTCCGATTTGCCACGACAGCAATGCACGCATACGGACATGAGTGGTCATGTCAGTTGGTATATAATCATGCATCTGCCTCGGACTTGGGTTATCAGATGGAGAAGGGACTGAAAGACTTTGGTCACGGTTTGTTTGGCTGATCGGTGTCCAGAGATCCTCATCGGTGAGAATCTTTTTTGTTGCTTTATCTATATTCATCTCTCAACATCCACGATAAGTTTCCAGAACTTAAGGGAATTGACCTTGACTTTGTTCACATCCTGTTGATGGCACAGGACCTCAAAATCAACATTCGTAAATGTGCCATTGCTAGCTTCTTTGAGTGGGATAAGTTAGATCAGGCTGTTGGCGGTGCTCAACAAGCATTAGGTAACATATCTGGCCCCCATCTTGTTCCATTTGATTGCTAATATCTCTCAGGAATAAAAACTGCATCAACAGCCATGGAAGGCTATCGCCAAATGTCACCCTGCCCTCATGACGGCTATACGAAAATTTAATTCATACTGCAAACAGTTAGATTCACTTTACAATCTGTCTGGCGTGATTCCTTTACCCCCTCCCCTCCCCACCAAACTTACTGAACTCCGTGCTGATCCCACGCTAATGGAGGACATATGGATCACTCCATCTGTTGGAGAAGTACCACAATGGTTGGATAATACGGACATTAGAGACAGTATCTGCACTCTTCTTAAACGTGATCGATGCAGGGAAGAACAGGTGCGCCTTGGCACTGAAGCTGATAACCTTTGTCGATTTTTCGGAGAAGAGCTTGCATCACTCGAGCTTGTACTTTGCATGCCAGAATGTAGGTAAATTTGTTTAACTCCAGTCTTCTTTTCTGATCTTGAAGTTCTAGGTGAACCTTTTATAGCCACCTTGGAACAGTGCTGGTCTAACTTCCTTTGGCTTCAATCACGCCGGAGCAACTCGCTGGTGTCTTCATTATGGTTCACTACCCAGTATTATGTACTCAAATAGATCTGTTATGCGAAGCCCTAAGAGGGGTGTTGTCCGCTAATGTTCATGATGTAACCAGAAGGGTCCAGTGTAGCGACTAAGACTGGTGATGTCGAGTCGGCAGATATCAGAGACGTGCGTATCACGTGACTTCTAAGATGGATGTCTTCAAAGTTGCTGATATTCTCAAGGTAAGGACAGTCTTGTCTGAACGATGAGTAATCAATCGAGGTAGACTTAAGTGCGATGAGCACTTAAGAAAAGATACTAGAGACTGAAGCTGAGGAGGCTTTGGAGGGAAGTATGTTCCAGGGAAGATTGAGTAGATTCAAGTTAGAGAATCTAGTACAGGGTGATCGACTACTTATACTAAGTGGAAAGGGTTAAGGGCAAGGCTACTGTACTGTAGGTAAGGGTAAAGGGGAGACAGAAAGAGTATAGGTGCACTGGCAGCAGAACCTGATTAGTGATGGGAGGTTGAATGCAGAATGAGACCGAGAAATGTTGGAATGAACCAACGGTAAGAGATACAATGCGCAGCACGCATGAGTCAGAGGAAAGATAAGGAAAAATAAGGAAAGCCACATTGGTGGTGACATGAGTCAGGATGAGTCATAGCCCGAAGGCACGTGCGCACGTTGGTGCGATAGGGGGGAGACAGGGGATGGGAACAGTCCTGATATCTGGTCAACAGATAGTTGGTAAAGGAGTACAAGCAGGAGGTAGCAAGGATGAGGATGAGGAAAAATGATAGGGGGGCCATGTAGCCGATGTTACTTGTAACACCCAGGTCAAGGAAGCTGTAGACATTATGGTTACCATCTCAGGAGGCTCTCAGAGCACTGCCCTTTATTGGATCCATACCAGGAGGCTCACCGTACCTGATCTTGATGGTGAAGATGAGCTGGTGTCTGCTGACCTTGATGATCCACCACAGGTTGACTCGGAACAAGCCACACTCACCGATGTTCTTGAGCAAGAGATGGGCATGTTAAACATGGACGATGATACCGAGTTAGCTCACATAGGCTATGACATTAAAGCTACTATTGTCTGGGAGCTTCCTGAGGTACATCGATCAACTTAAATTTCAATATCATGTCACTGATACCCCTCACTATGTTTTACTGGTTGATGACCTTCGTGTCCCAGTTAGAGAGCAGGACAATAATGTCCCTGACACACTTGTCACACATGTCCGACCTCCATGTGATGGATTCCCTCATCAATTTTTTGATCCCAAAGACATCAACATACTCCGCTCTCCGATAGCGTGTCTCAATGACGTGTGTATTGACAGCTGTGCTGCCCTACTCTACTCTGAACTAAAAGCTCCAACCCTCTCTTGCGCGATATTCTCTACCCACGACCTCCCACGCATCTGTTACAATGCGCCTGACGATATCATTTGGCAGAATGTTTCATGGACATGTTACTGGGAGAAGGATGTATGGGTTCTTCTGATACACCAGCCCTCTGATTCAATTGGACATTAGGTGATTTGTGTGATTCACATGATCAACAAGGAATTACACCTCTTTGATAGCCTTGGTGAAAAACAACCTTGGAAAAACGACATCAAAGTAAGTTTATATTCATATGACCAAGCAACTTACTGATGGTGGAGAAGGACATTATGAGATTAATTGCTCAGTTGTTCACCGTGGCAAATAAACATGGCCACCACATTCTGACTGATCTCCAGGGATGGGTTGCTCAACCTCTCAATGTGAGTTTTATATTTAACAGATATTAACTGCTCTGATGTCATCCATTGCAGATCCAACATCTCCAAAATAACAGTTACGACTGCGGTCTTTGGTTCTAGCAACACTCATTGCAGTTCTCCATAGGCGGCATGTTACAGGATTGCAGGAGGATGATACACACGATGTTTGTATCGTAATCCTGCTAGCTAACCAGACAAACTCAGTACATGGTCTCAACATGACATGCTTGCTTAGATTTTGGTACTGATGTGATGGGGCATGCTACTGGAATCATTTAGGACTGTTGTGGGAGGTTTGTGCACAGAAATTATCTGCATATTCATGTTTCAAAGTAAGCATGGTTTGTATCTTCAACCTCATTGGCTAACATTGGCTCTCATAACATATCCAGTGCCTCTCAGTATTCAAGTGAGCCTTGTCATTCATATCAGTTTTAACTGTACATCCTTCTTTCAAAAAAAGGTGATTTTTAAATGCTCAGAAAATCGTGTTGTTGAACCAGCCACAGCTATGACCCAACAAACAGCAGACCAATTTGGTGCCACAAAATACTCTCCCCCTCCCAGCTACATGGACTCGCCTCCTGTGGTACATCATCCTAGCAATGATTATATCCACGAGCAGTTTGGCGGTAGCCATTGACATCTGTCACCTCTTCCTGAACTCACCCCAACGAGGCTCAGAACCAACATCAAAGCAACCTCACGGGATGTTGGTATCGCAAGGGAGGCCAATATTTGTTGCCAAGTACATCCAATACCCTCCTGTCAACCTGCGTGGTCTGCTTCTCCCATGACCTCTCTTGCTGACACTCACGGTGTTGCCGTGAGCAGCAATACATCTTCGCTTGCCCTCCCACATGTGGCTAGTCACCACCCCTCTCTCTCCCTTGCCAGGTGGTGGTGTGGTGCAAGCAGCAACTCATCATCGCTCCCACTTCCACTTCCAAACAGCCATCACCCCTCTCCCTTTTCTGCCGGTCCTGTTAGTAGTGATACAACGTCACTCCCACTTAAGTCATGACCCCCAGTGAAAATCAGTCCTAGCGATATCTACGGCAAACGACAATGATATAAAATATATGCCAGGAATATTGTAATAACTACGCAAATCGATAAATGTAAACAATATGTCAACAACGCTCAATCAATTATCAAATGGGTTTCAAATACACATTTGACAATGCGCTCAGTAAATGTTGAACATGTTGAAATTCTTTCAACTTTGACTTGACTTTGCTCAATATTTCAATGTTTGAACATTCTTGCGCATCAGCTGCGCACGCACCATCACTTCACGCAATGATGTCAATATGCAGTGGACCAATATTGGGACATTCCATCCCTACTCACTTCATCTCAGCTTTCTTCTTCCCCTCCATCATCTCGTCTTCCTCTCAGCAAAACCTTGCTGTTGACCTCAACCATCCTGGCATCATCTGACACATAACTTTCTCATGGCCACTAACAAGATAAGTATTAGGCTTTTTCATGGCTCAATCCATGTGCTGATCCCACCCACTCAACCGTCGGCCGTTCTTGTGACAAGTAAGCGCTATTCACGGTGCATATATGCACATATTTTGAACATTGTGAGTTATTTGGCATTGTCAGGTTCATTCACTGACTGTTTTACATCATCGCTAGCTCAATACCATTGTCCCGATGATCGACACATCCAGCAGCTTCAACAGATACACCGTTACAAGACAGTCAATTGGTGAGTTCCATTAAAAGCTACCTAATGTACTTTAACTGATATCTATTGCTGTAGAACGAGGCAGCTGCCATCATTGTAAGTACTGTCTACTTGCCTGGCAAGTATATTCTGACAATGATTTGTTTCGGTCAAGGACTCCCATGTGCCAGAAGCTAGTGGACTACATCATCCTGATGCGCGGGTGGGGGTGCTATGGTATATAGAGTATTGTATTTGTAATTTTTCATAATACAATTATTTTTGGTCGATTTGCGTTGATGAGCAAATATGCACAAGTCAATTGGGAGCTATGGGAATATACTAGAATCTATGGTACACAAACACAATCGATGATACAATATCTCGCTTAATGCGAGTCGCTAAAAATTGACTATAAGTCTCATTTTTCTCCGGAAATCAACGTGAATATTGTCACAATATTTCCGTCGTTTTCTGGAGATATGGCTAGGACCGTTTCTCGCTGGGCATGACCCCTCACCCTTTCTGGGTGATCCTCCTTCATAACACCCTGCACACCTCAATGACCTTTTTTATGATCGTACCGGCACGCAGCCTACCTGGCCAGGTCAAGATACTACTCATGCCTTTAATTTCTTGGTAGACGACTCATTTCCTTCTATGCTACTCCCAGACCCGGTACTCATCCCTCCAACACCATTGAAGGATGCCGACGATGCTACTCCATGTGCCAGTGACACCCAAGGTGGTAACACATTTACTAGGGCACCAAGTCAACAATTGGACTTAAGCTACTATGCCTCCAATGCCCACGCTCAAGAGCGGTTCCCAGAAGAGAACCTGAACCTCGTGGATCACGAGTCTAGTTCACAGGAGCAATCGTTGACCGGACAGAGGTCATCAGAGACCAACAACAAGCTCGAAGAAGGGTTTGCACTGATTGATTGCACGTTCAATGATTTATCTAAGTGTACAATGATGCTGACCAATCAGGTGATCAACACATACCTGAAGAGTCATGGACAAGAGGTTCACAGCATCAATTATTGGAATGTATATGTGAACTACTTCAAGGAGTTCAAGGAGCGAGAGCTTGTGCGGCTCAAAACAGGAGGGTCGGACATCACATAGGCGCTGCTTCAACTCTCAATCAGCGTATGCAGTCCTTCCAGAAGCTCTATAGATGAGTGGCAAGCGTGGTATGGCGTCTTGTCCCAAGGATTGAGAGCCAGCTAACATTGACTTTAGCTTGATTCTGCTTCCACGAGATTTGGTTTTGAGTCGGCCATCATATTATGTGGCAATATAGTCAATCAAGATGCCTCTCTGGGTGATGTACATATGATACCAGCTGCTGCAGGGGTAAGTCGCTGCTCGCAAATGAAAATCTTTGCATTAAGGGATCTCTGGCACACAAATGTCTCTTACCTGGGGAATACCATAACATCAAATCAAAGAGCAAGGGTATCAGAGGGCTGACTCAGAAGGAAGTCTCTATACTTGTAGAGGCTCTGAAGGCAGGAACAATGTTTGTGGTCAAGATCCCAAAAATGTCACGAGGTATATTCAAAGTCATTGGCGCTGCAACAACACTTTCATTAATTCAATATTTTAGGAGCGCTCATTGCATCCGAATTACCTGTAATCACTGGCGAAGCACCTCCTTCAAACTACTCTCATTCTGGTGCAAAACGAATGTTTGCCAACCGTCAGACAGATTATAATGGACCTTCTTGCATGAAGATCAGCGCTGCAATTACTAAAGTCAAGAAGACTCTACCATTGAAGACTCCTCCCACACGCCCTTTTATAGTGGTTGCTAGGCCTTTGCTAGCTGCCCCGATCGAGATTCCAACCTCTGAGTCTGACACTGAGCCTCGCGAGATAGTCCCTGAAACGGAATTTGAAGATGCATGCCATGGGAAAAGAGGAAGGTGGCGACTAGCAGGCTAACTCAAGACTCCAAGAGGTGTGTGGCATCTGCAGAGCATGAAGGGGAGCTTAATGTGGGGAAGAAACATGTCAAGGCCAAGGCCAAGAGAAGGAGAAGGTATGAGTAACTGGGCCATTGGCCACTCCCGAGTTATCCCCCATAAAGGGGGTCCCTTGTCACTACTGACCATATCGTCTTCGAGTCATGAGCTGCTGACCACGCACCTGAGCCTTATCTCACTGATTCACGTGGCCACAACCCTCATGACCCTCCCCAGAGCGTCTCCAAAGAGACCATTCAGCACCCTCCTGAGCCTGTCCAGGGTTATGGCATCTTGTGTACCTCAGGCTCTCACATGCGACCTTCCAGAGGAGTCCTGCGAGCCTATTATTCACACAGGTGGTTGGCATGAGCCTACTGAACGTGGGTATACTCACGATATTCGTGACCCTTTGGACCCATGCAACTTTCATCGTCCTCATGACCCCAATCAGTATCACTATCGTGATTATGTGCGTGATACATCACCTTGGGATTGTGATGCAGTCCATCCACACGACACATTCTATGGCCGAGGGGGTCATCATCAAGACAACTTCCATCCTATGAACTTCCATGATTCGCGTATTGGAGAGCGTGATCATACTCGTCCAGTATATCCCAGTCACTATAGCCCCATTCCCGATCACATGTATTCCTTAAGACGTTGACGAATATCAGCGGCTTCCTCACTACCATGACAATCCGGGAGGAAAAGGGGTATCACGATAGGCAAGGAACATGGAGGAGATATCAAGACCCACAGGGGATAGGTCATGATCCACCATTTCCTGATCACCCTCATGATGCTGCCTCGCTTTGGGTTTATCCACACAATGACCGACACAGTCATTTCAATTCTCAAGACAATGACAATCATGACCACAACCCGACATTTTGTGAATGTGAGCCTTACTTGGACCCTAGGACCACTCCAAATCCTCAGCCTGGGCCTGCCTCTTCATAAATGCTCACCATCAAGTAATCATACAACACCGTTCTTTAATTCATCTATCTCATGCTGCTTCCACCTGCTTTTTTTTTCTGTCAATATTGCCTCATGCTACCATATGAATTGTTTTGGTTTCTGTTTTGATCATTTAAACATCTTCTAGTAACTACTCTATCCCTGATACAAATGTGCCATTCTCTACCAAATTGTCCGTGAAAGAAACCATACATACTATTTGCGTGACCCAATGGCAATTCGAGAACCTAGCGTGAGTCATCATATTAATTACATTGATGTATTGAAGCTCATGTTCTCATATGAAACACATGGTGAGTCTCTGATGTATCTAGATTCTCTACTCAGCTAAGATCCATTGGCATGCAATGACTTCGACAACGGTCATGTTGCGCAACTCAAACAGCAGCTCACCGAATTACAGCATGCTGTTGTGAGTCTACAAGCCGATAGACTTTGGCTTATCAACAAGAACGCTGGTCTCAATATGACCTGCCAGACTTTACAGTAAGTCAATTCCACTGAATATATGCGCATATATGCACTCAAAAAATTGCTACAGAAATGTGATCATTAATATGTGAGGTTCTGCAAGCTCCGTGTCCTCGACATCATCATATCACCCCCTTCCGACACCTCAAATACCATCACTGACAACAAGCCTTCCATAGTGGACAGAATTGTCCCCACAGAATCCGATCGAGAACTTGATTGAAAAAACTACCCATCCGTCAAATCATGGACGAAGAAGGAATGTCAGGACCAGTATCCCAAGAGGACATCAGCGGTGCCTGGAACTTCTGGAAGCTCATCTCAAGGATCTGGGTGCATGGCGCAAGGTGTTAATGTTGCATGCACATACCTACAGGATGAGCAAGGTGTATCTGTCTCGGCTCAACGCGCCAAGACAATCCGGAACCTCATGCTCTCGAGCTTTCGGGAACTTGACACTCAAGGCCTCGCCCCAGATTCTATTGGCCAAGCATCCCTGCAAGTCTTACACTGGCTGATTCACACGCTACGCAAACATTGTTTAGAATTATGTTTATGTGCTGACAACTGGAAGGTCATGAAACTCATGACCGACAATTACTCGCAGTGGTTCAACTACCACGTGAAGAAAAGAACCAGCAAGCGCATCAAGGCTGAGCATGGAGAGAGTATTCCAGATCTCTCAGAAGACGCCTTACCCTCAGTTCAGAAGTGCAGGGGTAATTCTGATCAAGATCTTGAAGCTGAACATCCAAAGAAGCGAGTACGAACCGATCTGCCTGTCATTGAGCCTATCATCGAGAACGACGAAGTGGTAAGTGTTTTTGAGTACTTTTCAGTACTTGATGCTCGCTAATCAACCTATCTACAGATACCTGATATACCACGACACCCCTCACCTGAGAGCGTGAACCAACACCACCACCACACGCCAACAAAGGCAAAGATAAAGAAGTAACTACTATTGAGGTGAGTTGAATTTACACACTCAATCCAGACACTGACTTGACTTGATCAAAATTACTAGATTGAAAACCCACTGTGAGTTCTTCTGATCCGTCTGATATTAATCTGATTGATCTATTTATATAGGTCCAATGTTGTGTTGAAACCTAGGCCCAAGGCAGTCAACCAGATGTCCCCTTCCATTTCCATTGACTCTCCGACTGCTTCGACTTCTGGAACCAACCCAATTCTTGCACTGCCATCACATGAGTCTACACCTACATCAACTATACCAAATACACCTTTGAGTACTGACACAGCTTCACTAGCTGTAAAGGCCGAACTCATCAACCAAGCCAGCACCACGATCGAGACAAAAGTGCACCCTAATATGATCAAGAAGTGCCAACCAAGCACAAAGCCTATGTGCATGAGCTCCAAGATCATGGCACGGTGAGTTCTATTCTATCTATTATTATCATAGTGAGTAAGGTTAACTCATTATTCTAGGAATTTTTGCGCCATTGAATGGCAATCAAATGGCCATCAAAAAGAACCAGTGAGCATATTTGCGACCTACTGGAATGGCCTATCGAGCACCAACAAAGAGGTACCTCGTTTTAATATTGATATCATTTATCTACTGACAACTACTCTTATAGGTATACAAGTGCAAAGCAGCTCTACAGGTGTGTGGTATTCATCATAGCCTAATTTAATACTAATGACGGTTTACTTTATAGCTCAACTCAGCTGGAACTACTGAAGGGAGCGGTGCCTGTGATGACATGGACGAGGAGTAATGGATACAAGGCAGGATAGTGGGATGGGCAGGATGGCGGGCGAGCACGGGCGCAGCGATACCACAAGCACCCAACCACAGCGATACCTTTAGATACTCATTCAATGGCATTAGATATGTATTCACCCACCCAAATTCAGCGTACTTATGCATCTAAAATTCATCTAAGGCCATCGAAAATCCTATCTAAGCAGTAAATTTAACTCTTGATCTCTATCATTTTGTGTCTCGAAAAGTCCCACTTTTATAAACAGGTCGAAACATAGCAAAAACATTTATTCACTGATATTTTTTTCACTTCTTATCTACACATATCTATCTCCTTCTTGTCATTTTTCACTAGGTCTCAACACTCATCGTTCATCACATCCCAACATTCATCATTCATTGAACCCCTTCACACTCGCTATTTTAAAAGCCTTACACTGTCTTGGTGGAGTTAGGAGGGCACCCCATGGCCTGTGACACATCATCATCAGCTATGGCCCTGCGTTTGCCCAGTGTCTTTGACAAACTTAGTGTGGAGGAGGAGGTGGAAGCCTCTGGAAGATTACTACTTCCAGTAAATAGCATTGGTCGTTCTGAAGGAATGAATCTAATTGGAGAGGGTGGTTCATCTGGCACTGGTGGGACATAAGGGTTTGGATGCTCAATAGTGTCAAGCACTTTCTGTGATTCCCGATAGGCTCAAAGTCAGTCCAAGCATGAAGGTTACAAGAACCTGCACTCACAATGTTTGCTGCGACAGTAGTACCAGTCATAGTGGTACTGCAGCTGCAGTCTTTGGCTGGCCCTGTGGGCCAAGCAGTAGCATGGTGGGCGATATCCCCCCTTCCCTTTGACAGCAAAAGATCCTTCAGTGTATCATAGTGTGGCCAACCCTTGTTCTTGAATTGTTGCGCTTGAGGCATACTCTAGATTCGGTAATTAGTTATTATAGTTGACATGATGACATTGACATACCTTCACAAGTTCTGTCCAGACAGACTCAGATGCATTGGTAATGTTGGCCTCAAGCTCCAGACTGAACTCCAAGCCAGAATAATTGGCCAATCTATCGACAATGTTGAAGGTTGAATGGATCTGAAGGCACATCAGTAAGTACCGGTTGATCATCAAATGTAACGTAAGAACTTACTCAAGACCATTTTGACTGGCATGCATCCGAAGTCTTCAGGGGGCCTTTGGCAGTCATTGTAGCGGCAACAGCAGCCCAAAATGTCTTGTCAAAATTGAGCCCTTCGCCACCCTTGGCACAGTGTATGGCGATGTATTGTATTCACCATGATTCATCATCTGAACTCCAGAAACATTGTTCAGTTCAGACATGGTGTCCTGATCATTCTTGCCTTGCCTCATATAGCAGAAAGATACATTATGGGGGCAGGAAGAACAAGTTTGTCGAGTGACTGGCATGATGGTATATCAATAAACTCTGTCACATCTGTCACACTGATTTGGGATATTCAGGATGATTATAGATCAAATTCCATCTTTGAAATTTCTCAAAATTTTGTTAGCTGAATAGACTCTAAGGGCCATTGTCATGCCACTGGCTTACAATGCCAGTCAGGTGACTTTCAAGGCACCTTACAAGTGCCTTTTGAGGGTCGGTGAGAAAATATGGTCATACAAAGGGGTCAGTGCACCTGCAGCATGCAGGAGGGTTATGAAGGGGTTGATAAGGCTAATCTGAACAAAGTCTGAACTAGAAAATAACAGAGGTAAGACTACCCTAAGGTAGAGCTGGATATATAGTCTAGAATAGGATTCTAAGACTCAGAGATGACAAGAGAACTAGCCTGATGTAGAGACTCGTGCCTCTCATTGTGTGATATGGCAGTTTTCACTAGGGAGTACATGACACGAACTTGTAGCATCACTTTGTGTGCTATCTGCAGCTATTCCTATATGAGGTGCACACTTCCCGCACTTCACGATGTATATGCGTGCGCACTTTCCCGTGCTTGAGTGCCCTATAGCGCCAGTCATCTGGAAGCATCCATCCACTATCCACCAAGCTCTCTAGTGCATATATTTCTATTTCCCTTATTTGCATATCGTTCTATCTTTATTTTTATCATGGACCCTTACTTACATATATCTTTATACACCTTACTCAGAAGCACTTTGGCTCTGCATGACAGTGCTTAGGCGCCATATATAAGTGCCAGCAGTACATACTATTACTTACTTTTGGAACCTACCTTTGGCTACCAACTTTCTACCTAATAGAGCACAGTTGAAATCTATTCTTTTACACCTCACACTCACATCTCTTGTCTTGCATCATAATCATCACTTAAGCAAACTCACTCTTACTCTCTCTTATTTCTGCATACACACATGCACTTTCCCGTGCTTCATGTAATATGCATGCATGTTCCCATGCCTTCATGCCTTGCACACACCTGGACTTTCTTGTGCTTCACATTGGCCAGCCAGTAGCACTTTCAGTGCATACCTCTAGATCCTTGCTGCACTCGCTTCCCCTTTAGGGTTAAACACATTTGTCATCTCAAGTATAGCAGACTAGGCAATGCATGACCTTACAACATTATAGATACAGTCTGGAGCCTCATTCGCACCTCACTGTATTGTTGAACCTTCACTGAGTCTGGAAGACAGGAATGAGCAGGAACTAAGATGATATTTGAACTAGTGACGTGCCAGGCCTACTTGATGGGCCTCATGAGGGCTTGGGCCTGGCCTGGGTGTCTCATAGGCCATGGCTTCTACATAGTGAAGGAAAGTTCCAAAATGTACTGTACAATACTTAGATTACATAAACTTTGCAACAACTGCATCCGCCAGAAGAATTGAGAACATCCCTAGAACTGCCCCTCTAGTGCAGAAAGTCTGGCATGCACTACAGCAAGAACAGCAGCAAAGCTACTGGCTAACAGATGGCATGTCGGATATTAAAATACACTTGGAGGCCCATTCTACTACAGCTGCTACCACAACTGATATACCTCCTGCTTAGTGCACTACTCGCTGTGCAGAAACTCAGACGTCCTTCTGAAGAAGTTTTCCACACCCAGGCTTCAGAAAATGACTGTTGGAAGGTGGTAGGTGTGATACTAGGTCCTAGGTGATTTAGAAGTCAGCCAAAGTCTGCCACTTAGCCATGTTTTTGCTGCCAGACTGCGGATATATCTGTCATAGTGCTGTACTATGTGTCACACTGTTTTGTGCCAGAAGGGCGGTTTCAGTGACCTTTTGGAAGAATTTGGCTGAATGTCATACCCAGCTTGAGGATGACTCTCACAGTCGTTTCTGATGATGATGCAATTGCTGCTGTTACAGTCCATTCTAAATGAACAATTATACCTTCTTTTTGACTTATCAATTCTAATAATAGCACAACACCTAAGTTAACTAGCTACAAGCAGGTACAGCAGCCGGTCCAACCAAACACCACTCCTATGACAAATATGTGTGATGCCAAATGAAATGCAAATAATGCTGGCTGGAGTTCAACTTTCTCAAACCAGGATGAGGATTTGGAAAATGAAGATGCCAATAAATCAGTATTCAAGGGTAAGTACCATCAATCTTTGTGCTGGTATGCTCACTATTTGATTTTCATAGCCAAGCACCTTCGTTGAGCTGGCGAGCCATCCTTTACAGGTGATGCTCATTCGACACATTCATTAAGCATGCAAATCATTTTCACTATTAAATTCTAATGCTACTACTAACTTCTTACTCTAGCGCATACAGGTACACATGAGGACACCATAGATTGTGATGTCAATGGCAACAGCAATGGTGATGGTGATGATGACAATGACAGTGACAATGGCTTCCTGCAAGACCTCAACATACAAGATATTGCTGTTCTTGGAACAATTTGATATGAGGAGAAAAGTTGGGATGTCAACACATTCTTCGGCAAGTCCTAGGTGCATAAGGTGAAGGATGGGAAGACATGGAACATCTGAGACTGCGAAACTTGCAAGTATGTCCTTTTTTTTATTCTTCAAATTTTAACTCACAGAATTATAGGAAGAAGGGGCCACCCTCATAAATAGTTAGTGACACATTAACATGTTGCCGTCACCTTGCATTTCGCCATGCAGTAAGTTTATTTCTTATCTGTTCTTAACCTTTTCATCACACTTGCTGTGAGGATGCTTACTGCAAGTGGTGCAAGACCAATGAATTTGTGTTAATGCTACCTCAAAATATCATATTACATGATGTATTGGTAACTCATTAAGGGTGTAATATTTGCAGGAAATCTGAAATTGTGTGAAATTATTCAAAAGTAATAGTTTGTAAGTTTATGCTGTGCTAGAATATATGCTCATAATTGCCTAAGAGGCCCTGGCCCTAGCCAAAGCTAAGGCCAGGCCTGGCCTGAGTTTTTACTAGGCCTAAACCCTCTGAAGCCAGGCTTAGGCCATGGTTTTCAAGCCAAGCCAAACCTGGTACATTACTAATTTGAACTGAGGTGTTTCTACAAGTTACAGGGGTTTGTATACTATAGGTATCAGTCAGCAGAACACAAAACTATGTACAAAGCATATAGAAAATCTATTAGTACATATGTAAGTATAACAGATCACAAAGAATTCTCAGCATGTAGTGCAAGCCCCTTGATACACAATTTATCCAATGCAGCAACATTCTGGGTACTGAAAATGTTGAGGGGAGTGACAACAATCTGTATTTCTTGGGGGTGGAATAATAGAGGCATTCCAAATGTCAACATTTTTCCAGAGCTGGTCATAGATATTGAAATATTATCATGGTCATGTTGAAGGACAGCTTGTGTGACTTCAATTTGCCATAGGCATAGTCTCCACCCAAAGACTTGAAGGGTTCAATTGCATATTTCACTGACTAAGGGCACTATGTCTGACATTTGCTAAAGAAGCTTCTTAACAATTACTCAATTGGATGGTGGACTTCGTAAATCTACTGATGGACCTGTGGCTTTACTTATTTTCTTGTGTTTTGCACCAGCAGTCATTGAGAGGGTGGAGGAAGAAGTTCGGTGTTTGAATTATGGTAGGTGAGAGACAATTGCTCTATTGATATTTTGAGGGGTTGGAGTGTAGCTTTGCTAGCACCAAATAGGAGGCACTGGCAGAGTATGGCAACCATATCTTAATGAGCTGCATGATACATATTTCTAATTGATACAACAGATAAATTCTAACACTATTTCATTTGAGGCTTCATAAAGATAGATTATGTGTTGTGTTCAAGCACATAGAGAAGCTTCAGAGTGAGGGACATATAGATTTGGTGTTTAGAGGACACACTGTAGAAACATAAACAAGGATGTATGGGTTTAGGATTTCAGCTGAAGGAGATGGTGCCAGAATGATGATCATATTGGGAAGTCACTCTGAGTATATCATAGTTTTGCAGACAAAAATCAGTGTAAAAAGAGACAGACAAATCCCACCTTTTTTATAATCATACCACATCCCCATAAGATTGATGGAAAAGACGTATAACCAGAAGGTGTTAAGCTGCTGGCTACCAGTCACCATATTCTACTTTCACCAATAGCCTATACCACAAGCTGGACATCATCATAGGCAATATCTCTCTATTGCTGAGAAATTTTTGTCAATAATAGAAAAGCTTCAAGCAGCCATGATGAGGGTAATAGGTCATCAAGATGGTCAAAACAGGATGTCATATCATACAATAGTGGGAGTGCTTCATAGGCAATTTGGGATAAGATTTCATTTGACAGATGCTGCTGGTATTTAGTAATTTTAATGCCAGTACTGAGCCTCACATTTCTTATAGGAGTGGCTTTGATTGAGGTTCTGGATAATACATTAAGAATAGTTGGACCAGGAGAAGGAGAGGAAGATTCTGAAGACTAGAGGCAAAGAGTTTTAGACACCTTTTAATAACAAATAGTAAATGGAAAGGTTGATGTACATATAAGTGTTTACAGTGTGTTGCATATAATTTTACTAAATCTCCTTATCAATAGAAAAATTTAAAATATAATGCATTAGCCAGGCCAAGTAGAGTTTTCCAGTAAAACTTTACCATTTTTGGCTTTGCTGCTCAGCCACCTCATTATGCTGCTGGAGTTGGACATGAAAAAGATCTCAAAAATGAAGAATGAGAAAATATATGTGAATTCATTAGATTTATCTAAACCAATATTGAATGATAAAATTTAACATAATCTCCCTTTTCTCTGCTTACAAGAATAATATTTTTATCATTTGCATCTATGGTTTATTTATTAGGCACATTGCTTCTAAATCTGGTTTAGACAAGTCTATCATAACTGCAGTTATAAAACAGAACATATCAAAAAGAACATCATAAAATAAAATCTCCTTTCAAGTTTAGTTTACAGAATAAAAGATTTGTTATTCATTAAATTCTTTTTTGTAAGACTTCAAATAATGTTTACTATACAGCTGTAATTTCTGAAGGAGAGACTACACAAATTAGTCAAGACTTCTGGTTTGCAGTGGATATAGCAAGATATTGATAAAAGTAATCATAGCCTTGTCTAAATCTATATTGGCTTTCCATTTAAAATTGAGAGCCTATGGATAGGCCCACCCTCTAGGTGTGTCAAGGACCTTTATTAGTAGAAAAAGCCTGGCTCTTAAGAGAGTGGGCATTGTCTATGAGTTAGGGTGAATAAGGATTCCACTTGGAGGATGTTCTAATGGTAGCAGCTCCCTTGAGAAATGTTGAATCCTCAATATGAATTGGAAAAGTTCTATCTCTATAGTCTTATGAAATTAACCAAAAGACTTCTTTCAGATATATCATACTCACTATGCCAGCTTGTGGAGATTCCTTGATGAATATACATGACAGTAATAAAGTATGGGCAGGTAAAAGTAAGTCTTCTCATGTAGACTCCTAGAACCAAAAGGACTGAAAAAAATTTGCAGAATTGTCCAAAATTATCAACATCAAGCTGGCTACAGAGGTAAAACTTTCCCAATTCATATTAGAGATTCAGCACTTCTCAAGGAAGCTGCTACCATCAGGACATCCCTCTGAGTGAAATCCTTATCTACCCTAACTCATACTCAATGACCACCCTTTTGAGAGCCTAGCTCCTTCTACCAATAAAAGGGTCCTTGATGCATCTGGATAGTGGGCCTATCCACAGGCTCCTGAATTTGAATAGAGGGCCAATGCAAGATTCAGATGAGGCTTTAATTACTTTCATCAATACCTTGCTATATCTGCTGCAAACCAAAAGTCTAGACTAGTCCGCATAGTTACTCTCCCAGAGATTACAGCTGTACAATTCAAGGATAGTTGCACCTGCATCAAATCTATTCAAGATATGGTTAAAATACAAGCAGGAATACTTTACATTGCTTTGATCAACAGTGATAACACTAAGGCTGTGATGGTTGGTTGTTTTCACACACTGTACTCCCTTAACTGGTATCTAGAGAGGAAGCCCATCCAGGCACTCATTAAGAAGCTTCAAACTCAGACATGAGGGAGAGCGGCAAGGACTAGTGGAGACTCTGAAGTTTCTCCTATGTATTTCTTTCCAGGGCTGAAGCCTCACTCTGGGAAGGTCAAAGAAGAATCTTTTGAGGGGTCAAATAGTCTTGCATCTACCATTATGAAGGGAAACAGCTGTGAGATTCTCCACCCAGCCCTCTAGGTATCTAACCCAGAGGCAAAGGAACAAATTTCTGACATTCTTATGACTCTTCACAGTCTATATCAACTTGTTATCTCCTTGAGCATTTCAAAAGAAGAGTGGGAAGTGTTCAAACATGTTATAAGAGAAAATAATGCATTTTTATTTGGTGAGCTTGAGCCTGAAGTAGTTGGCTGCCAGATAAATATTCCTGAGTATTTAAGCAGTGGAGAAATGATCAAGGCCATAGGAGACCTCCAGGGTTCCTGGCATATGGACTTCAGAGATGATCCATTGATATTTACTCTTTTTGTTATACTTGGTGTTGTTTAGACATTTTTACGTATCAAGGATCAAAGTCAAAGTTAAAATTTTGAATACAAGTAGTAGGCCCTGGTCTGTGTAGGTCAAGTTAAAGATACAAAGCATAAAGAGTCAAGTATATATGAAAGATTAAAGAGGAGTTTGAATATAAGTAGTGAATAGGAAGAAGAGAATCATATAATAGAATGTAATAGAATACTATTGAATAAATAAATAAGCATATGTGACAATGTGAAGAGATGAAAAGAATAGAACTGTAACACTTCTAACTATATTGCTGCATGTACCACCCAGTATGACTTTATGAACTCATATTCCTCTATACTAATCTTGGGACTCTTGGTAGGCAGCAATCTTAGGACCTTAAATGCAGACTTGGAAATAGAAGCAGAAGTGGATGATAGCTGAGAATAGAGGAACCAGAGGGACAACTGTGAGAACCAGAGACCAGTAGAAGAGCTCACTAATGAGTTGTAGAGGAAGGAGCCCCAAATTAAATAGCAGAAATCAACTGATATTAATGAGAATAATAAGGATGGGCCAGAGTATGAAATTAAGTATGTTGTATATGATCAGCTGCAGGTTAGTATGGGGCAAACAACAATGTGCAAGCTGACACATTTTTGATAGGATGGCATAGTGGAATATCTGGTCAAATGGAAGCATTATAATGATAGATAGAACTCTTGGGTCTCAGAATCTTCTACGTATATCTTATATTATGTTCTTCAACATTTGACAATTTATACTTTATCAGTAATTGTTCTCAAGCAATTGATAAATATTAAGCTACATCTGCAGAACCCAACCAGAATTAGCATTATGGACTCAAGCTCTCCAAGATGGGGCAGTGATACAAATATTTATGCACTTTTATGTTTTATGTTCAAGCACATAGAGAAGCTTCAGAGTGAGACACATATAGATTTGGTGTTTAGAGGACACACTATAGAAACATGAATAAGAATGTATGGGTTTAGGATTTTAGCTGAAGGAGACGGTGTCAGAATGATGACCATATTAGAAAGTCACTCTGAGTATATCATAGTTTTTCAGACAAAATTAGTGTAAAAAGAGAAAGATCCCATCTTTTTTATGATCATACTAAACTCCCATAAGATTGATGGAAAAGACATAAAACCAGAAGGTGCTAGGCTGCTGGCTGCTCTGTACCTTCTGTATGAGGTACATTAACCTATTCACAATTTTAAAAATGCTCTAATATTTCAGAACTATTTATAGTAGATAAAATGACTCTAATTAACATTCAGATATCAGACTTAATACTCTTTCAGACTTTTTTTTCATAGATAGGATTGAACAGGATGAGTGCATAAGTAATACTATATATTAACTTTGCATTTCACATGTTTTTGTCGCACTTTGCTCATATATCTTCATATTACACTTTACAATTGTGGGTGGCTATGACTTCATAGTATCTCTTCATATCACCATTATGTCAGTATCATACCCACTCTCACCAGGGTCCCTCCTGTCTTCATCTCTTTCATTAGATTATTCAAATGTTTTTTTGCAGTATTTAAAGGGTTACCTGCAACATAAAAATGTAAGCATTGTATTTCATATTTAATAGACTTAGATTATGTTGCTAGGGTGGGTATATGTACACACCAAGTACCAGTACTTCCTCTGAAACTCAAATTCAGCATATAAATTGTAACATATCAAGTTACAGTACAAAATTGTAAGACTCATAGAAGAACATGATACTATTAAGTACATTGACAATTTAAAAAAAAATTGATATGGTCTAGTATCCTGACAATTAGTCTAGGACTATGCTATCCTTCAATATATATCTATTCATTCAGGTGAGGCTAACAATACAATAGCAAACTTGAAACTCTTCATCTGGCTCAATATTTTTAGATTCTGTTACAAATAAGCAAAGGATTATAATGTTTATATTCTTTCTAGTAAGTTTGGAGTTATCAGAAATAAATACAAATAGACTTGGAAGCTGACTTCTACATGATACAGATATGAAATGTAATATTTCTGGAACATTCATTAGGAAGCTGATTGGAAAACTTGCTGATGCTCAAAAAAAATTGGAGAAGATTCATGCTATCTAGTATTCAGTGTTTTTATAACACTTCTGGTATTTTTAACCAATGCATTATATATAAAAATCAAATTTTTAAGTAGTGAAGAAGTAGAAGTTATTCATAACTTGCTTGGTAGTACTATAGACATATGCTTATTATATTATTGATGATCCAATGCATAATATTATTCTGGTTAATATTTGAGATATATTCAGATGACTATTTTGTTGTTTGGTTGATCTTATGTCTAAGTCACTTACAGGAATCATTATACCTAATCAAACTGTTGTCTTTTCCAGTCTCATATAGGAGTACTTCTATGAGACTTCTATATTTCTGATAGTTGCATCTAACCTCTATATTATAGTGCATAAGCTAACTTGGGCTATATGAAGAACATTGTGAAGAGTTGTGAAGTACTTTAGGCAGCCAGTGTGCTGCAGCACACAGGCCCAGGTTTGAGTGCTTTGGAATTCTAGAAAATATGTGAATATTTGAATGCCATTGATGATCATAGCCTCCTGGAACTCAATCGCTTTTGCCAATGTTATTTGGACATAATATTTACAGCTATTTTCAAATCCCTGACTCAATAAAGCATGTCATCTAAGAATTGAAAAGAAATCAAAACAGTTTGGACTCCAGAAAGATTAAAAATACCCTTACACTGGTTGTTAATTTATAATTACTGTCTTCCCAGGGTATTGTTCTGTCTACTGAGGTGTCTGTCATCTGCACTTCCAAATAGGCCATTATAATGATGATTCTTAATGTACATATCATTTCTGTCAGCTTCACTATGAATTTGGACTGAAGCCCTTTTATACTCTCATCATATTCCAATGAATCCAGACAATCATGACATCCTCCCCAACCTTAAGAAATACATTTTAATTATTTCGAGTTAGGCCAAAGTTAGGCTAGCTTAGCATAAATCAGCTTCAAATTTCAAATTTGTGAGGGCAAAGAAACAGTTTATCTTTGCTTACACTACTAAGGATCCAGAGCTCCAGGGATTGACGGGGTTCCTGGCAATAGATTTCAGAATGATATTCTAATTATGAGCTCCTATTGCTCTCCAGCTGACTCTTAATTCCATTTAGTGAATGCTCTCAATGCTAGCCAATCTAGCTTATAATACTCCAACTGTGTTGTTTGAGTTATAAGGTGCACACTTACCAAACTCTTGCTCAGTGTCACATTTTCAGTTCCATACCATGAGTCTCCAGCCTTTATCTAATGGAACTATTGTTTACATTCATGCTTCTCTTTATGAAGTCTACCATATCTTCTCTCATCATCTTCTCTCATCACTCATTTTTACCTGGTGCACTGGTGAGTGAAATATTTTCACTTGATCATGGTCTCTAATATTTCTACATAGGTTGCAAAGCGGATATTCAAAGATCTATATCAAGAAGTCTTCAGCGAGCTTCTCATACAAGGCTTTTACTTAGAGCCTATCATTTTGAATGCTGAGGCAAGCTGCCACTTCCCTTTGGTAATTCTTACAAACAACTGCAGTAACTTTATATTTTTGCAACTTTCCAAACATATCACTAAGTATCTTGTATGCAGATGTCTAACAGCAGGAATCTCTGACTATATTTGCCTTGTAGTATGAGATGGAAACATGTGGACCTATACAACTATTTTCATTATGAAAGAAATGTTGCTTTAGCTTCCTTGTTCAATCAAACCTGTTAGACCCTATGATGCATACTTTTGGTGCTTTAGTTTCAGAGAGAGTTGTACTTGCTGGGCATAGAGACAATAGATATGAGTGGTTGCATAGCCATTATTCACACACAGTAAGTCTTGATATTTTATCATACATATTTAGAGAGAAAAGCAGCTGTTTGGAAACTCCCTCCCCTTAGGTCTTATGGTGGAATTTTTCATGAATTACTGTGTTGATGCAATTTACCACAAGATTATTACCTGCTGCTATGCACAAGTGCTGACTTGTGGACCAGGGCTGACTTGTGAACTAGGGCTGAAAAATCTCAGGTACAGCCTGGCATATGTCATTGTCATAGTACATTGATATATATCTTTCTTTTCAACAGAAGCTGACTCAAAAGGTCTCTCTCAGCTGCAAGATGTGTTTAGTGCCCAATGAGACTAGGATGCCATCAAGAGTTTTATTAAATGACAAGTCAACTAATAGCTAATTAGGATCAAATCACCCCACAGATTATAGATAGCATAACACTTGTGTAAGTCCCTTTGATTCACTAGTACTGCCTTAGTTAAGGGTGCTAATTTTAATTCTACTGTGGTTGTAAAATTGACCATTGCTTACTACAACTACATGATTGTGATGCACATAATCTCCAAGTTTTTAGGGTTGGTCACTTATACTGTCTTCCTTGTTTACTTGTAGTGCCTTTCTTATGGTTCTTATTAGTGTTCTTACTTCTCTAGATAGTACCTTGTGCTGTTGGTAATCATATAGGGTATTTTATCACCTACACTAGACCACCACTTTAAGTCAAGGAGCTGGCTGGCTTACTACAAAACTCTTTTGCAATGGCTGACAGCCACCAGTACTAGCCTTCTCACAGTTACACCCAATACTATACCCTTAGATCTGGTTACAGTGATCAATCCTGCTACTATCAATAGTACTGTCACTCCTGCACCCATTCCAAGACCCCCAGGAATGACCTGTTCTCAGCACTTCTTTATCATTACAACAAGGATTGATGCCCATGCTATGCAAATCTCTGGTGATACTGAGTTTCATTTGCTTATGGACATGAGAGTGGAGTTTGCATAGATTTTCTTCAAAATGATGCCCAAATAGTGGGCCATAGCTATAGAGATCTATAATAACCATCTTGAGCAGAAGAGCCATACTAATAGTATCAAAGTGGTGGGAAAAAACTCCAGGCTCTTTTTGAAAGCTTGGTGAGATTGAAGATGCTGTCGGCCTCAGCTTGTATGCTGTGCCCCTTTTCCAAGTACTGTCCCTTATTTCAGATACTAATAATAATGTGTTCAAAGGTCCAGACGATTCTCATAGTAATATCTGGATGACTTTCAGATGTTGGAAATGCATATAAGACTAATCTGAACAAGTCTGAACTAGAAACTAACAGAGTATGGACTACTCAACGGCAGAGCTGAGGATATAGACTATCAGAATTGATCCAAAGTCTCAGAGGTTGATAAGAGTTGAATAGACTCAGGTTTGGAGGACAGAAAGAGGATAAACTAAGATGATATTTGAACTGCCGTACTACAGAACATATACACGAGTTTATATACTAAGAGGATAACAGAAGGATCAGTAAGCAAAGGTCCAAGGCTATGTATGAAGCATATGCAAAGCTTATCAAACACTAGTTGGAAATGAAGCATAGGTTAATGGATCAGTAAGCATACTGGCAATAAGTATAACCGAGATACTGGGAAGAGGAAATACCAAATAGGCTGTGTTTAATGTTATATGAACAGGAAATAAATTAAAAAGCTTATCGTAAATCAGATCAGAAGCAGATCTATGTATCAGACTGGATCTGATCTAAAAGTCTGAAGTCCAGAAGAGAACTGTGAATATATGGGATATGACAGTATCCCCCCCTTAGGGCCAATCCCTTGAGGCACAAGAATCATTGGTCTGGACCAGATGAAATTAATGTGAGATGATGGAGAAGTCGATGGGAGAAGTGTCTGAGTTTGGAATCAGACAGGTATACTCAAGGCAGGGCATCCTGGGACAATTCTTCCTTTCCCACTTTTTACTCTCTATAATGCTCTATTGGAAATGTCTGGCAACACCTCTGGATCTCAGAAGACCACTAAGCAGAAACTGCTGGAGCTTCAATGGCAACTGGCAGATGTGGAAGCTGCAGCTCGGATGGAGGAAGAGGAGATTTGGAAGTGTCAGGAGGAGGAGTGGAAGCATGAGGAGGAGTGGAAGTGTCAGGAGGATCTGAGGAAGATTCAGCAGGCCGAAATTCAGATGGAAGCAGAGCAAAAAAGGTGTAGGGAAATAGTAGCAGAAATGATGAGTCTCGGATGGTTATGATGGATTTTCCTGACAGATGAAAAGTCTCGTGCTATTTCTGTGGAAAAGGACGGACCCTGCACGCATTGTACTGCCAAGGGCTGGACTTGTCTGTGGACAGATGCAAAGAGTAATGTTCTGGTGAGTTAATCTGCATTTTTTGGATCCAAGTTTTTGACATCCAGATAGATCAAGTCTTGCAATATCTGCCGAAAGGACAAGGCTATGTGCCCTGGATGACCTGGAACTGTCAAGGTGTCCAAGGGCAAGAAGAGGAAACATGCTGCCAGATCTCCATCTCCGAAATGTAAAGGCAAGAGACACCAGAAGAGTCTGACTCTGGAAGATTGTTAAGGTTGTACTCTTGTAGGGTCGGATCCGAAGGACTTTGGCCTCAGCTCGTACGCTGTGCCCCTTTCCCAAGTACTGTCCCTTATTTCAAAGTACTAATGATAACGCGTCTGAAGGTCCGGACGGGTCTCGTAGTATATCTGGATGTCTTCCAGATATCGGAAACACATATAAGGCTAATCCGGACGTATCTGAACTAGAAACTAACAGAGTAAAGACTACCCGAAGGTAGAGCCGAGGATATAGACTATCGGAATCTATCCGAAGTCTCGGAGGGTGACAAGAGTAAGAAGGACTCAAGTCCGGAGGACAGAAAGAGGACAAACTAAGATGATATTCGAACTGAGGTACTACAGGACATATACATGAGTTTATATACTATGAGGATAACGGAAGTATCAGTAAGCAAAGGTCCGAGGCTATGTATGAAGCATGTGCAAAGGTTATCAAATGCGAGTCGGAAATGAGACATAGGTTAACGGATCAGTAAGCATACCGGTAATAAGTATAACTGAAACACCGGGAAGAGGAAATACCGAATAGGCTGTGTTTAACGTTATATGAACAGGAAATGAATTAGAAAGCTTATCGTAAATCGGATCGGAAGCGGATCTATACATCGGACCGGATTGGATCTCAGGGTCCAAAGTCCAGAAGAGAAGCGTGAATATATGGGATATGACAAAGATCCGGAAGAGATGGAGACAGAATACAATGACCAGGCTTGGGTGGCCGCAGCCAACAGTATAGTGGCAGAGCTGGCTAGGACTAACACCCTTTTGGAGAGGAGTATTTAGGCAGCAGAAGCCAGTAGGGCTGCAGTGGACCGGATGAGTTCTGGACTCAAGTTGTTCCTTCAGCAACAGAGGGAGTTTCAGGCTATGCTGTTTGGGCATATCTGGAAGGGTTTTTGAACATCTCCAGATCCAGAGGAGGAGGATGAGGTGATGGATAAAGTATCCAGAAGTGATGCAGCCGGATCCAGAGGAGTGGATGGGTCTATGGAGATGTAGGATTTTCTGGTCCGTTTCTGTCTCTTCCCTAAATGTACTTTATATCTGTATGGACACTATGTACTTCAAAGTTGAATAGGACCAGGTTTGTTCGGATATGCAGCGTGGAAGTCCAATACTAATTCAGATGCATTTCTGAGCTCTGTTGCAAGCAACCATGAAGTTTCCTTGTCTGTTCCTTCATATCTGGACTATCAGATGAGGTATAGAAGTTGACACTGTTGTCTCTGATGGTCTAACTTTGAGTCTAGGATTTTGGACATCTCATATTTGGGTTCTCTGGACTTCAACTGGAGGCAGGGGTGGTTGGATACAATTAGGAATAGTGTTGAGAGATGCTGGTTCTAATTGCTGAGACATGGACAACTGGGTGTATGGAACACATGGAATCTGGAAGTCAGATAGTGAAGGAGTGCATGCCCAGACGAGCTATGATTTCAAATGCACCTAAGTTCTTTTCTGAGAGTTTCTTGGATGGATGGGTGGATCAGAAGTATTTTGCTTTGATGAAGACCAAATCTCTGATGTTCATATCCGGAGCGGGCTTCTGTTTGGTGTCCATAGGCCCTTGATATCTTTCTTGTGTGTGAGCCATTTCTTCTCAGAGGAACTGATTAGAGAAGGAAAAGTGGAAATATCAGGAAAAGTAGGAATAGAAATGTATGGACAAAGAGAGTTCAGATCGGAAAGAGAAACAGCATTGAGATGTAGCTCCATTGCATGGGTAGAGTCAATGCAACCCTCATCCTGTGCAGAGTCAGGAGGGTTGCAGATTATTTTTTGTCTCATCTGAGACCTTTAGTTTGTCTCCTGGAGTTACTACTGCAGCATGGCCTTTAGCAGCACACTGTCATGCATGGTATGTGATTCATATCATGTCAGATATATGTAGAGAGTGATAAGGAAGATATGAGAGACTGTCTAGCTCTCTGTCACTAAGTTACTTCTCCATTTTTCCTTTGATTCATCATCTTGTATCTTATTTCTCACTTTTCAGGCTTATTTTACCTTGTATTTGTTTCAAGCATGTGACCTTCTGTTTATTGCTTATTGTTCATTTTTATTTGGCTTCTTTCAGCCACCAAGTTTTGTATCTCTATTTATTTCTGACTGTTTATTTTTATTTGGCTTCTTTCAGCCACTAGATTTTATTTGTCATCACATCATGTGACTGGGAAATATTCTGGTTTGTAACATTATTTAAGCTGACTCAACATGTTTAGTCATGATTGGTCATGCTTTGTAACAACATTTAACATGACTCATGTTCAGTCATGGTTTGTAATTTCTTTATAAGATTACACTGTATTTGTAATGTACTTAGTAATAAGCTAATTCATCACCTGGTTTGTGAGCCGCATTCTTACCAATCCATCTGATAAATCATGCTTAGTAAGGGGGTTCCCAAAAGGTATAAAAGGACCCCATTTTCACCCATGAAATACAATCCTCCCACTTGACTCTTATCTCAAACTGTGTGAGACTACTAAGACTTAAAGTGCAGGCCAACATAAGTGCCTTGAGGTAATCCCATTGGATGAAGAATGCACAAAGCTTCCAAAGCTTAGTGCCATCAAAAGTATCAGGTTCACGGATCTTCACTTTGGAATCTTCGGACGAGGTAGCATGATAATTGTTGTGTGCAAGGTTATCAATGGCTTGAGACAGCCAAAGCATAATGCGGTATTGTGGGTTTAGTCCATTGTCTTTATTGTTGTTATCATTGTCCAGATCATCATTTGAATCACCTCTGAAGTCATTCAGAGGGTTTCCACCAGGAGTATCTTCATCTTCTGGTGGTCCTTCAGCCAGAGTACATATAGGAGTTACTGGATATAGACGATTAAGGAGTTTGGAAATACTTTGGGCAGGACCAAGTGATACACAGCGCTGAGAGAAACTGGTAAAGGTATTAACTATGGATGTCAGATCGTGTCAGGTGGACGAAAGTCCGACAGCATGCAGAGCAGCTTGGTTTATTTTAGTAGGAGCCATGATATGAGTAAGTGTACTTGAAAAGGTGTGAGTTCGAATATACTGTTAAGGTTGTACTCTTGTAGGGTCAGATCCGAAGGACTTCAGCCTCAGCTTGTATGCTGTGCCCCTTTCCCAAGTACTGTCCCTTATTTCAGATACTAACAATAATGCGTTCAAAGGTCCGGACGATTCTCATAGTAATATCTGGATGACTTCCAGATGTTGGAAATGCATATAAGACTAATCCGAACAAGTCTGAACTAGAAACTAACAGAGTATGGACTACTCAAAGGCAGAGCTGAGGATATAGACTATCAGAATTGATCCAAAGTTTCAGAGGTTGACAAGAGTTGAATAGACTCAGGTCTGGAGGACAGAAAGAGGATAAACTAAGATGATATTTGAACTGCCGTACTACAGAACATATACATGAGTTTATATACTAAGAGCATAAAAGAAAAGATTAAAAGAAAGATACTATGAGACCTAGTGCTCCTGGAGGTACTCGATGTGAAGGCACTTGACATTATTGTGCACAGTGAGCAACACATCCAGTATTATTTTGTCAATCTTGAGCTCCTCATACAACTTGAATAGGAAAGTCTCTGATTTGAGTGTCATTGACTGGTCCAACAGTATCATCATGAATGCTTCCTGCTCAAGGGCAGGGCTCTTACCAGATGGCCAGAGGAAGATTTGCTTGTAGATTTGTTTGACTGTTTCCAGGAAGGCACATGAATGGAAATGCTTGCCTTCAGAGAAAATGCCTGATGGCTGTGGCTAGGATGGAGGTAGCTCATTTTTGGATACCTCCTTGGTACTGTTAGCACACATCTTGTCTGTGATTGTACTCTAAGTTCTTGGAACTAGGGTACATAATTGGCTTGCAGTGGGAGTAGGTATGAGCCTTACAAATATGAGGAAGAGATTGTCAGTAAATGTGACTACTCAAACAGCTATAAATTCACATACCTTCTTTCTGGGCTCAGTCTTGACAAGCTCAATAATGTGATAGTGTCCTCCAGAATGAGCTATATTGAAAGAAGCGAGTAGTTAATACATGAAAAAGTGCTAGTGACTCACACTTAAAGACACTCTTTGACACATTGTCATATCCCATATATTCACAGTTCTCTTCTGGACTTCAGACTTTTAGATCAGATCCAGTCCGATGCATAGATCTGCTTCTGATCTGATTTACGATAAGCTTTTTAATTCATTTCCTGTTCATATAACGTTAAACACAGCCTATTTGGTATTTCCTCTTCCCGGTATCTCGGTTATACTTATTGCCAGTATGCTTACTGATTCATTAACCTATGCTTCATTTCCAACTAGCATTTGATAAGCTTTGCATATGCTTCGTACATAGCCTCGGATCTTTGCTTACTGATCCTTCCATTATCCTCAATTCTTAGTATTTGATATTGATTTGCATCTACCCTAGTGTGGTCCAGCTTTCATACTTTAATATTAGTTTCTCCCTGCATTTTTATCAGATCCTCATCTTGCTTTTTCATTCACACTATTCTTTTTCCCCCTTTCTGCACAATAGCTACATCTCCTTTCCTTCACTTTTTTCATTATATGTCACATGACTCATAGTTGATCTTGCAAATGGTCCCTCACATGTATGACTATTTTGATATCATATGGGTTGACCCCTTCATCTCTAGAACTCAGAGTGCGAGTATAATACATCCCAAAGAGACTACCTGTAGAACTATGAGGTCTATTAAGATCAAAGATGAGAGAAGAAAAAGTTACCCAAGGTGCATCCAAAGTTCTAAGGCTGTGTCTGAAGTACCAAAGTACTGGTCTGGTGCAAGTGAAAGTGGTCCAAAGTTCAGATAGGATGAAAATGAAGTTTTTCATATGAGATGACAAAATTTTTGTAAGATGAGTCATCAGTTAAAAGAGCAAGTAAGGTAAGATGAGAGGTGACTGAATTTTTTCATATAAGGCAACAAATGTTTTGTAAAATGAGTTGTCTAAGGTAACTAAAGTTTTTTATATGAGGTGACAAATTCAAATTTTTCATAAGATGTTATCTATCGAAAGAGTAATAAGGAGTAGTTTGTCAAAGAAGAAAGAATAGGCTTATCTGATTAGATAGTAATGCAGCAATTTCTGAAGACTGCATAGTAGGAACTTCTGCTGGAATATTCCCTTATGATGTCTTTGTTTGCCTCAAAAGTTTGTGGGGTGGACCTTGGTATGCTTGAGACTCTTCACTGTCATCTGCTTTGCATTTTGCAGGCTTTGCTCATTGCAGTGGCTCTCCTATGCTTGTAGGAGGCTCACAGCTGGGTGGCTGAGGTATCAACAACAGCTGTGAATTAATATCTAATTTATTGATCATTTCTGATCTCATTGACTGCAGAATAGTGTCATATCCTACATTCTAGACCTACATCTAACAATGTTCCCATGCCTCATCTAAACCTCCAGATCTCCTATCCATGTCTCTAGACCTCTAGTCCGCTATCTGTCCAATTCCTGGATCCAATATTTGGACATCTGATCTAATAGATCTCCAGATCTGAGCTATGCTTCATATCTGAACCCAAACCTTAAATCAGTGCTTATCCCCTTATGGTAATAACCTGTTTCTGGTCTTTGGTTATCTCTGTTTCTATTTTGCTTATTAATACTTGTATGAGTTTCATCTCCGAGTTTATTTCCTTATGATCTATCTCACTTACTAATACACTTCCACATGTTCATATATAGCCTTACCTCTCTGCTTACTGATCTACTTGGACTTGCCTCCAGTATATAAACTCCTATAGAAACTCCTATACTTCCTTAGTCTGAATATCATATTAGTCTTTACTGTCATATTCCATATTCTGGACCTACGTCTGACACTGTTCCTATGCTTCATCTGGACCTCCAGACCCCTGTATCTCTATACATCAGACCTCCATACCTCTACAGCTAGCCTGCATCATTTGCCCTTTGTCCCATCGCCCTAATGTCATATCTCATATATCCACGCATCATATCCGAACCATATCTGATCTGATCTGATGTATAGATATGCTTCCAATTCGATATACAATAAGCTCCTTAATTCATTTCCTGTTCATATAATGTTAATACAGCTTATTCGGTATTTCTTGTTCCTGGTATCTCAGTTATACTTACTACCGGTGTAGAGACTCATGCCTCTCATGGCGTGATATGGCAGTTCCCACCAAGGAGTACATAGCACGAACTTGTAGTGTCACTCCATGCACTACCCACAGCTATCCCTATACAAGGCGCAGCTTTCCCGCGCAATGCGCGCACCATTCCCACGCTTCACAATGTATACGCGCTTGAGCGCCCTATAGCGCCAGCCATCCAGAAGCATCCATCCACTGTCCACCAAGCCCTCTAGTGTGTATATTTCCATTTCTTTTATTAGCATATCATTCCACCTCTATTTTTATAATGGACCCTTACTTATATATATCTTTACATACCTATTCGGTAGCGCTTCGGCTCCGCATGACCGCGCTTAGGCACGCTATATAAGCGCCAGCAGTACATACTACGGGAGAAAGTTTTCCACTTACTTTTCACCCAACTTTACTTTTGACTTGAGTACCACCCACTATTTACCTAGCTGAACATAGTAGAAATCTATTTGTCTGCACTTTGCACCTCTCTTCACTTGTCTTACATCTTATCCTCACTTAAGCTTACTCTTTCTCATTTCCGCACACGCGCGCGCGCTTTCCCACGCTTCGCGCTAATACGCGCGCCTTCGTACCTTGCATGCACCTGCACTTTCTCGCGCCTCGCTTCAGCGTGTACCTCTAGATCTTTGCTGCACTTGCTTCCCTTTAGGGTCGAACGCGCTTGTCTCCTCAAGTAACGCAGACTAGGCAACGCACGACCTACAACATTTTATAGATACAGTTAGGAGCATTCAATTGTTCCTCTCAGTATAGCTGTTTCTACACCAGTATACTTACTGATCCATTAACCTATGCTTCATTTCCGACTCGCATTTGATAACTTTGCTTATGCTTCATACATAGCCTCAGACCTTTGCTTATTGATCTTTCTGATAGTCACTTAGTATATGAACTCTTGTATATGTCCTATAGTTCCTCAGTCTGAATATTGTATTAGTCCTCACACTAGGTCTTACACTAAGTTCTCTTATCAGTTCTATTCCTTCAACTTAGTCAATATCCACCTCAGGCCTAAGAAGGAATTCCCTAGGCCGGAGTTCCAATCCTCTGATCCTCTGCTTATCTACTCATCCAATCCTCCGAAGTTTCTGGAAGTTCATCTGGATCTTTCTCATTAGAACAGTGACCCTCAACAACACACAAGTGCCAACACACTGCAGAAACACTTAAAGAAAACAAGCCTGCTGTCATATCCTGTATTCCAGACCTACATCCGATAATATTCCCACACCTCATCTGGACCTTCGGATGTCCTATCCATGTCTCCAGTACCCATCCGGATCCCTGCACCTCTGCACATCCACATCTGCATGTCCACATCCAGATCCCTTATCCTTCGCAGCTAGCCTGCATCATTCATAGGCCTAGGGAGGAATTCCCTAGGCCAGAGTTCTGATCCTCTGATCCTCCGCTCATCCACTTATCCACTCATCTGATCCTCCGAAGTTTCCGGAAGTCTATCCGGATCTTTCCCGTGGTCCTCCGGACCTATTCTGCTTTGGACTTTGTCCTTGCAGCTGTTTCCTCTGTTTGCTTCTACTCAGGACAAGTCCTGAGTAGCCATTACACATATCTATATCAGGACGAAACCTCATTGTAATTTCTGGAAGTTCCTCCGGAACTTTCCCGCACTCATCCGGAAGTTACTTGCACCTGTCCAGAAAGTCCTTCCAAAGTTTCCCGCGCCTTCAGACGTCCTTCAGATGTCTTTGGACTTTCTTTGGACACCAATCTGAAATTAAGAGCACATACTCGGGTAAGGGGCGCAGCGCACAAGCTGAAGCCAAGCCCCTCAGAATCAGTCCTACCCTTTGTGCATGGTCTTAACACCTGCTCTGCAAACACACATGACTAAGCTCTAAAAACACTTTCAGCAACCTCCAAAGACTCCACTTGGCCACTCTCTACTGCTGCCTCTACTACCTCTGAACCTTCTGAACCTAGGCCTCTCGACACCTGCTGACTAAAGCCTGCTCTAGACTGGCCTCTATCCACTCTGCTACTACCTCTGCTGCCACCAAGCCTGCCCTAAACCTCATGTTACCTGCTAACACTTGCTTGCCCCAAACCTGAGTTGAAATAGAACACTGGCCCAACCCAGCCACTATACCATGGTCCTCTAGACCTATTCTGCTTTGAACTTTGTCCTTGTAGCCTTTTCTCTGTTTGGTTCTACTCAAGACAAGTCCTGAGTAGCCATTATACATATTCATATCAGGATAAAATCACATTGTAATTTCTGGAAGTTCCTCTGAAACTTTCCCACATTCATCCAGAAGTTACTTGTACTCATCCAGAAAGTCCTTTCAAAGTTTCTCTTACCTTCAGATGTCCTTGGATTTTCTTTGGACATCAATCTGAAATTAAGGGCATATACTCGGATAAGGGGCGCAGCACACGAGCTGAAGCCAAGCCCCTCAGAATCAGTCCTACCCTTTGTACATAGTCTTAACACTTACACTAGATCTCACACTAAGTTCTCATATTAGTTCCTTCCTTGCAAGTATCCACCTTAGGCCTAGGGAGAAATTCCCTAGGTCAAAGCTCTACTCCTCTACTCTTCTACTCCTTCAATCCTTCAATCCTAAACTCCTTCAAGTTTTTGGACATTCCTCCAGAACTTTCCTATGGTCCTCCAGATCTACTCTGCTTCAGACATTATTCCGGCAGCCTTTCCTCTGTTTGCTTCTACTCAGGATTTGTCCTGAGTAGCCATTAGACATATCCCTATTAAAATAAAACTCCATTGTAATTTCTGGAAGCTCCTCCAGAATTTTCTCACACTTGGCTAGAAGATTCATCCAGATTTTCCATACTCATCTAGAAGTCCTTTGGACTTTCTCCAGACTTCATTCTTAAATTAAAAGCATGTACTTGAATAAGGGGCACAGCATACGAGCTGAAGCTAAGCCCCTTGTAATCAGTCCTACTGTCTGTGCACAGTCTTAACACATAGTCTCTGTATAACCATCATTAGTAATCTTGTTAAGAAGGTTAGTGCATGAATAGCATCACCAGATTCCAAGTCCTTTGCCTTAATGTCTAGTAGGCCACCAAATGTGGATACAAATATTAACTCAATAAGATCAAAGTGCTCCTTTGATAAAAGTTGTATAGTTCAGGCAGAAGGTAGGTACTTGTGGTAGATTTCTCTTCATGCTGAAGGTTATTGAACAAGATGAATGTGATGAGAACTATAAGTTGATGTAAGGAAATCAGATGTGTGGTTGTGTGAAAAATCAACACAGATGTTCCATTAGAGAACAAAGTTATGATATAGCACTATAAACATTGTGATGCTGCTACTATGAACTTGTTAAAAAGAGTTCCAGCCCTTATGGGATCCCTCAATATAACTGCCATCTGTATGTATATCCTGATACAGACATTTACAATATCCCTTTCTCACATGTTTAAGTTGTTCTTTATGTACCTAGCAGAAAAAGAATAAGTCCTCACCACCAGCAAGAGACTTTGACCTCACTTTGCATGTCCCTGCAGACCACACTGTGCCCTCTGTTGACCACTTCTCAAAAGTATCACTAAGCCTTTTCTCTTGCTCACACTAGTTCCAGTACTCCACAGGAATTTTGCCCTATACATGCTTCTTAAGGATACATGTAGAGATCTTAGCTATGTGTATCTATGTTTTTGCTTTGATAAGTATACTACTGGTAATACATTAAGTTTCACTCTTGCTTGAGAGAAAATGACAGTAATTGCACCATGAACATAACAATAGTTGTCTGCAACAAAGATCTCAGGTGGAGGGGACATCAAGCTTCTTGCTGTGAGCTTTCAGACTATCAAGAAGTTTGGTGATCTCAGTGTTAGACTAGCCTTGACAAAACTGCTGATTATTATAGGTAAGTAGTGTGAGCCTAAGATTATTTTGGAACTGGTGGTGGACTAACCTAATCAATTATCTTGTTATTCTCATTCATAAGACTAATGATTTCACCCTTCAAAACTTTGATTCTCTGCTTGTCTCCACTGGTTATGAGTGCTTTTTCTATAGCATGAAATATATTGTTGAATGAAATGCTGACACCTACTGCAAGTAAGTTTATGGTATATAGGAGCCATTTAAATTAAGACTTGCCTGACAATATTCATAGATAGTCCTCTGATCCCCTTTTATGACCTCCTCATACAAATTCCTGGAAGACCTTGGTGATTACATTATTCAAAATCAGTTTATTATTATAGTTTTTTGTGTCACTAGGATCAGAGAATGACTGTAGGGGATTTAGATTAAAGTAGTTTATGCTGTGATATGCAATGTGATGAGACTTCAAAGCTTGAAGGTATGTTAACTTATGCTAGTTAAATTCAAGTAGGTAAAACTCTAGGTATTAGGCTACAATGAGGCAGATGGTCTAAATTTAGAACTAACACTCATGCCTAACATTTTCAGTGAGACTACCAGCAGTTTACAAAAGACATAGCTCAATCAACAAGTCACAGAGCTCATATGTTACTACATACCTCCAAAAGAATATAGATATGTCTACTACAGCAAGTTATAAATATATACTATACTATGAAGATGCCAATGCTCACTAGGAATTAACCAGTGCACCCAATTATGCCAGAACTCTAGGTTTGTTGTGATAAAGCAGTGATTCTTAGGCTAAGTCTGATTTGAATTTCTTCCTCATCTTACTCACCAAAGCTCTGCTGCTAATCACCTTTCTTATTTTTACAGTTCTCATAGCACAGTTTCGTGCCAATTGTATCTTCATCAACAAACATGCCATAGACATCTCATAAACCAGTGCCAGCCCACTTATTTCATTGGACACTATCTATACAGTTACATTGTGGACAACATGTGAGTTCTAAATAATAGAACAAGTGAATGATCCAAAATGGTTTCAGATATAAGGACTCCAGGTTGACTACAGGCTAAGGTTGATTTTGTTAAAGAGCATGGAGGTAAGATGGTGGCACAAAATAGGGGCACCTTTGCTGACCATACTCAAGTCTTATCTAAGATGTAGTTGATGTGCTCAATAATTTCAGCCTCCTACTCACATTGATGCCTTAGCTATGATTTCATCATATAGTCATCATAGCTAGTCCAGGACTCTACACATTTTTTGACCTATGTTGTCAAATAATTGTCAGATCAGTTCTTAATCTTAATAGACTTGCACCTACTTACTAAACTTTTCCAGCTTATTTTAATTTTTTTTGTGAGTATTTTAGCTCCAGTGCAGCTAATAGCTTGCATATAACATCTAGTTCATATACAAACATGCTCACAAAAGGTTGCTGAAGATAGAGGCCCAAAGGGTGGTGGGACTTGGAGGAATGTATATAGTACTGTATGTGTATGGTACAGGACAGGCAAAGATGGAGATTCTATTGTAGCAATGAGGAGAGTTGAGACTCATTAACCTTACTATACTAGCCTTACCACTTAACTATTCAGATATTGTTGTGCTAAGTCACTATATAAATAATTTCATTCTCACTTCTGACTGGTAGGATAAACAAATTTAGTTTGCACTAGCTTAGATATAACTAGTACACTGTGCTATGACATACTAATAGATTAACACTCAATGGCCCCACACCTCCATCACATCTCTCGGAGTCCCTCCAAGTCTACTGAGGACAAAACCATCAAGGATGAAAATTTGGAGGTATCTAACAGTGTCCTACAGACTTCCTTCAAGTCTACTAGGGGAAAAGCTATCATGAATAGAAATACAGAAAAATCTGTGGAGGTATCCACTGAAAGTACCCAAATCACTATCTGAGTCTATCTGGATTCTAAAATTCACCCTAAGGACATTGCAAGCTTTGCAAAGTTTGGATTTGATGAATATGCCAAGTGGCTTGTGATTTAATCAGGCTTTCAGGTGGCAGTGATTGAAGGTATATATAAACATATGAGCAACTTCAAACAGATAAAGAAAATTGTGAAAGCAATGTGTACCACTGCAATGGAGTACACTTAAATTGAGGTTGAAGGCCAGGAAATAGAGGACTTATATGAGAATGCTGGATCTAGGTCTGGGTTAGAGGGCAAAACAGCCAATAATGCTGCTAGCAGTGAAAAGTGAATCAATTGAAGTGTGACATAAATACATGGGTTGGTATCTGTGCTAGTAAATTATGCAAGCAAAATTTTGATGGAGCACACAATCAGATTCTAGTAAGGATTAACCAGCTCACCAGGTAGTGCATATCAGTAATTCATCTGAACATCATTGACATTCAGGTATATCACAATAAGCTCACTAGGTAAAATTGTCCTATCAGTATTAGAATACCAATAATGCTACCAGTGATCCAAATATCATTATCATTTAAGTGGAGACTATAATTGAGGTCATAGGCTATCAGTCAACTGTGACAGACATTGAGTGAGCTTGAAGGACTACAATGAAACCATACCTGCAGAGTCTCCTAGGACTAGGAGGGTCAATATACTATACATGAGTATTGATGAATGCTAGGAGGTCAGGCTATAAGAATTCATAAGGAAAGTATAGTACATACATAATTTTGGAATAAAGAGCCCTTCTCAAGATCTCTGTCATATTCCATTCCAGACCCTTAACTCTAAATCTGCTTCTTTGGAACTCTGGATCTGAGATTCAGATCTCTTGATCTCAAAGTCTGGTCCACTTATCATTTCCAGAATCCAAACCTTAAATCAGCATACAACCTCATTTAGTAATCCCCTGACTCTGGACTCCAGTTATTTATGTTTCTGTCTTGATTGCTGATCTGTTACTCATGTTTTATTTCTGATATCACTGCAGGCATTTTCTCATTTTCCTTCACCAAACATTCAGAAAACATTTATTAAGAAGATAGAATTTTCCTCTCATTTTATCTGTCAAAACATTGAAAAAAGGTAATTCTTGTGTCAATGATATTCTGTATATAGGATATGATGCAAAAATTAATCATGTTCCTTCAAGGATAATATTTTATTTTCCATCTATTGTCTTTTAAATAACAGCTTAAGATAATATTAATTTTCTTCTCCATATTTGTAAAATATACTATGTTTTTCAAATGTTCTGTATAATTTTGAAAAACACAAAGAAGAAAATCCATATTATTTAAAGCTGTTATTTAAGAGACAATAGATGGAAAATACAGCATTATCCTTGAAGGAACATGATTAATTTTTGTATCATATCACACACACAGAAAATCATTAAAACATGAATTACTTTTTTTCAATGTTTTGACAGACAAAAGAAGGAGAAATTTTGTCTTGTCAATCAATGTTTTTTGGATGTTTGGTGGAGGAAAATAGGGAAATGCCTTGTATGAATTCTGCAATGAATACAAACTTCAAAGTAATACTCACTGTGCAAGAAGTTTGGCTTGAACCTCAAATTATTTGACATAGGCTATAATAGAAGAAGGTCAGTATCGTGTCGTTGTCACCAATCTGGAGACCCTTATGAAGCCCAACGGTGGATTCAATACACTGTGGAAAACTGCCCAAATTCTTGATATTCTTTGATGATATCAGCAAGTCAGTAGTAGCAGTGAAGTTTTGTGAGGTTGCATTTGCCTCAGCCACTTTGAAGTATGCTGAAATTTGTATGGTTCAATGTGGAATGACACCGAATCTCAGAGAAGAACATACCGAAAACCTCAAAGATGGCACAGTGTACAGCTTATGTTGCATGGACTCCTTTGGCATGGTGAGCTTCATATCTTACCATAGTATGTCTACATTAATTAATACAAAACACTCAAGGGTGTTGACTTACCAAATATTGCCCTTGCTATCTAATGGCACATGTCATGTGACCTGTGCACCCTCTGGCAATGGTTTAGACATGGTGCACGAGATCTATAGTCAGGATCATAGACACCCAAACAAGTGTTAGTGGAGAGATGGAATCAGTATGCTCTGTCAGTCATGATCAGTTGCACAAGAGTCTTGATGTACAATGGGTATTCATTTACTCATGTAAGATTACAAAAAATGGTCAGAAAGTGAAATACACAGGTGATGCATTGGGTCCAGCAGAAGATGACTTTGTAAACACTGCAACAAGGTATTTCAGCTGTTACAGACACCCAGTCATGTTGTATTTTGGCAATACACAATTAATGAGTAATAGTGTGTATAGTGAGTGCACCTATGACTCAATTTCACAGCCACTAAATTCACACTGATTTCTCCAACCTAAAAGCCATCCAACACCTGCATTGTCTCCCTGACTCACCTACTGATTGCCCGCACTATTGCACTCATGCAGGGAAAATCAAGATACACGAGAATCTTATGAGGGAGATAGATGGATAGGGTGAAAGAGTATGGAGAAGATGTTCTGAAGCTGATTATGTCTCACTCACTGTCTACATCTATTCCTGCCAATCCACAACCTCAAACTCCCCTTCGCCCTCACAATGAACACATCAACACTACTCCAGCCAGCCGTGGATTAATTAATGTCCATTGCGCGTGCAGGTATATGATGCATTTGTATCACTGGGATTGGGTCCACAGTCTTGGGATATAGGGAATTATGGAAGTGGCTAAAGTATGGGGGCCCATGCTTGACAAGGTCTGTC